AAAAGCACGCAATTGTAATTTAATTACGTTGAATAAAAAGGGACTTAAACCCTTCACAAGACTCGGTGTTTTATCCAGTTTCCACAGTCACCTCTTGGTTGCGTGCAAGTTGGAGGCGCGCAATGTTACAACTTGATTTCAAAGACATCTCAAATATTCTTTCTCGTTGTATTCATAAAGTAATGGGATACTGTAATTGTAGTTACACCAGTATTTTGCTTCTTAAAATTATGATTAAATTGGGATTTGTGAAGGTACTCCAAAATGAGATGTGATGAGAAATATAAATTATCTTTTTATGATTTTTATAGTCCTTTAACTTTTTGATTTTTTGAAAAAGATTTTTTACGTTTGTATTGTTAGAATTTTAAATTATTTGTGGGTAAAGAAATGACATAGTCCACGTTGAACAGTCAAATATATTGGTAATATTTTGATTACATGAAAACAAGCAACCACAGCAATGCACACCAGATAAGGACAACGCGACGACAACACTACTGTTGCCAATTAACATTAAGTAAATATTGTGATTGGCACACATATCTTATTTTTTTAAACACGCCCCCTTGCCAATCACACTATGTGCAAGATATTTACATACTTCATAAAAATTAATCACGCTGTGGTTGTACACATTTACAGAAAACAATGTAGCTGCTATTACATGCTTAAACACTATTGACCTCTACTTGTGAATTGTATCATTAACTGAACACATATTAAATTATACTAGGAAACACAATGTTTACATAGAAATAATTAAGAAAAATTAGTATCTAGGCTTCTTTCCGGAGTTTTAAGTCAAGTTTCTAAACAGTTACAACCATAATGGTTTTATATCAGTCACAAACTTGGAAGGAGATCATTTTTACGTGCAAGTCTTGGCATAGTTCATGTCACGTAAAAGTTTTTTTTTCGTGGTCTGCTTAGTTAGGAGATCAGCGAGATTGTCACTGGATGGCACATGATCAAATGCAATCACATTTTCTTTTCACTAGGTCTCTCAGAAAATGAAATTTAATATTGATGTGCTTACTTCTTTCAGAAGTAACATGGTTCTTGGCTAGATATATTGCTCCCTGGTTATCAACTAGCACTTTTTGAGGTGAAGCAGCTAATTTACTACAGATTTCCTCCATCAAGTTTTTAATCCATAGGATTTCCTTGGCAGTGTGACACATCGCCCCATACTCTGCTTCTGTCGACGATAAAGCTCTTGTGGGTTTCTTCTTGCTCGACCATGAGATTGGAGCACCTGCGAGTAGCATTATGTAACCACTGTAATTTACGGTCAGTTCTTCACCTCCCCAGTCAGCATCTGAGTAGACTTGAAGTGGCTCACCTGTCTTCTGGAATCTCAATTTTCTGCGTTGTTTTCCCTTTAGGTATCTTAGAATGTGCTTCACACCTCTCCAGTGTTCTTTGGTGTGTTTTTCATTAAATTCGCTCATGTAGGTGGAAGAACAAGCCATGTCTGGGCAAGTACCACAAGTTAGATAAAGGAGACTTCCTATAGCTTCTTTGATTTCCTCCCACTGCTGTTCATCTACCTTCTTATATTTTAAACTGGGGTCCAATGGCATGGATACACATTTTGCTTCAGTCATTTTAAATGTTTCTAGATTTCTCCACACCATAAACATCTGATCTTGTGTGTATATCCGTTTCTTCTTTCGCATATTTCATGGAAAGATCTGGCTTGCAGGACCTAGGTCCTTGACATTGAACCTTTTCTTGAACTCATTTATCTCTGGCATGTTTCCAACTATCAGGAGGCCATCAACATAAACTCCAATTATGATGTTCTTCTAATGACAAAAGTAAATACAAGGGTCTGCACTTGATCTTTTCAATCCATACTGGATCAGGAAGTCACTCAAGCAAGTATTCCATGCATGTCTTGATTGTCGGATACCATAAATGCTTTTCTTCAAGTGGCAGACAAGGTGTTCTTTCCCTTTCTCAATGCAGCCGGAAGGCTGCATTGAGAAAGGCTGTGTGTTTTTCTCTGCAGCTACGGTAAGCAGTAACCTTATAGATTTAAACTTGATGACTGGTGAAAAGGTGTCTTGAAAGTCCACTCCAGGTATTTGCAGATAGCCTTTTGCCACCAATCTGGCTTTGAATTATGTTCGGTTCCCAATCTCGTCTTTTTTCTTACGAAACAACCATCTGGATGGTATTACCTTGGTTCCTGGTGGTTTAGTTGTTAGTTCCCATGTTTGAGCTTGAGTGAGGTTCTGAATTTCTTCCTCCATGGCTTTTAACCACATGTCAGCTTCGGGTGATTTCAGGGCATCTTTTAGAATTACTGGATCCTTTTCTTCAGATTTTTGTATCTCTTGGACATCGTACAGATAAAATTCTTCGAAACGTTTAGGAATTCTGGTGTTTCTTTTTTCACCTTTCTTACTCCCATGGGTAGGATTTCTGGCTGCTGCTTCAACTTCATGTTCATAGGTTGTTTTCAACTTCATAGGTTGTTAACAACATCTTGTACCTGTGTAACTGATTGGCCTTCATCTTTGTAATCTGGAGTATTTTTAGGCTGTAGGTCTGGGCATCTTTCAGAATTTTGGTCAATAGTATCTGTATTTAGACATTGGGTTTCATCCAAGTCACTTACATCAGGAGTTATGTGATCTAGAGATATGTCATGAGCGTCTGTCTCAGGTAGGTCCAAGGGATATTCTGATTTAAAGTCTTCAATTTTAAGAGTAGCTTCTTTTGCAGGATTGTCACACTTGCTTAGTTTTAAGGGGAAAACATTTTCTTCAAAAATGACATCTCTGCTGACAAAAAAATGTTTCTTCTTCAAGTCATACAATTTGTAGCCCTTAACTCCTTTAGGATAGCCCACATAAACATATTCTGTAGCTTTAGGATCAAGCTTACTTCCTCTTGAATGTGGGCGAACATGACTCCAGGCTCTGCATCCGAAAACTCTGCGGTGGTCTGTTTCTCTTCCAGATTCTGACCATCTTTCGTCTGGAATATCGCCATCAATTGCCATAGATGGGCACTTGTTATGGAGATAGGACGTAGTGGCCATTGCTTCAGCCCAAAACCTGTGATCTGCTCCGGACTCTATAAATAAGCATCTTGTCATGTTTATCAATGTTTGGTTCTGTCTGTCTGCCAGACCATTTTGTTGAGGTGTGTCAGGTACAGTTAGTTGTCTTTGAATCCCATGCGCAGCGAGGTACTTGTCAAACTTTTCACTTATATATTCCCCACCATTGTCATTTCGCAGGAATTTGATTTTTCTGTTTTGGAGATTTTCTACCGTGCAACAGTACTCCTCAAATCTTTCTAGTACTTCACTTTTGGCTTTCATAGAGAATGCCGCGGTATAGTGAGAAAATTCATCCATGAAAGCAACAAAGTAATTTGAGGCTTCAAAGGAAGGGGAGAAATTTTACCAATAACATCTGTATGTATAACTTCTAGAATGTCTTTAGCTTTTGTACTAGCAGCCTTTGGAAATTTCTTCCTTTTCATTTTTCCCTGGATACAGACTTGGCAAGGTGCATTTACTAATACTGTTGATTTCAGGTTTCTGCCGATGGGGATAATATTTTTTGTTGTACAAGAGTGTGGATAACCAAGTCTATGATGCAACAAGTCGGCACTTTCAGTTTTTGTAACGTAGGCAGTTGTCATCTTTTCTTCGATTATACAGCCTTCCTTTTTTTTCACCAATAGAGAGTGTCTCCATTCTTACAATCACTTTGGCTTTTCCTTCAACAAGTTCTACTTTTAGGCCTCTTTCTTCAATTCTACCAATGGATAATAGATTTCCTCCTCCTAGTTCTGGAACATATAGGACATTTTCAATAGTGACTTTTTTCTCCATCTTCTTCTCCAACAGAAAAGATATTTCCAATTCCAGTGACCTTTATTCTTCTGAATTAGCACTAGAACTTCAGATGTGTATCTTCTAAGGTCTGAGAATTTTCTTTTAATCAGAGGTCGTGTTCTGTAGCTCCACTGTATAAAATCCACAGATTACTTTTCTTTGATTTTTCTTTCTTCTTCGTTTTGCCAGAAGTGCAATGTTGTCTTGAGGTCAACTGCAGTTTTGGGCACTGTTTTGGTTCTGATATTTGGCTTCTTCACAATTTTTAGAGATATGCTCCCATTGGCCACAGCTGAAGCATTATATTTCTACCTCTTGTTAGTTTCTTCTTCATTTGCCTTTAGCTGAACTTCTTCACGGGTTTTCACAAATGCAGGCTTCTTCAGTTGGGTGACAAAACTGTTAGTGTGAAGAGCTTGTTCTTCATGATACACTTGGCTGAACTCATTTCTACTGTACGTTTCTCTTCTACAAGTAGCCTAGTTTCACAATCGTAGTTGTCAGGTTTGCTTCGTCTTTTTCCAAAATTGGATGAGCGATTCATAACTTCTAGACTAATAGCATCACTAGGGCCACTTTTCTATCTGTAATGCATATATACCATTAGCTATTTTCTATGCAAGTCCAAATCTGCTAGATAAGATTGGACTGACTCTTTGGCTTCATATTTATGTTAAAGAATTCTCTCATGTTGCATTACGTGAAGCCAACCTAATTTGTGTGCATTTCTTTTAAACAGTTCCAGGCGTCTCTGGCTCTAACACAATCTCCGATATCATCTAGAAATGTATCTTCAACTATGAGGAATAATAGGGTCATTCTTTTTCCTCTCTGCTTCATTAATTTCAATTCCATATACGGGTTCCACTGCTTCCCAACATCTCTTCTGCAACAGCATGGCACGCAAACGGGTACACCATGTGTGATAATTGTCGCCGTTTAGTTTCGGCATTTTATAATCTTCAAGTAAATATATCGAGCTTAAATTCACTATAAAAAAAATATTTACTTCGTCAAATGGATAATGTAGAAGCACAATGGTTAACCAGCTCATTTCAGGTTCACGACGTGGTTAGGCTTCGGCGATCGGTGCGGTGAGACTCTATCATTGATTGATAATAATTTGCTTCATTTTTAGGTTCCGAAGAGCGTACAGGTGACGATGGCAGACCTGAATATCTGCTTGTTGTATCATTTTCTCCCATCGGTTGTCTTCAAGATTATCTGCGAGAAAATGTAATAGATTGGAATCAGCTTTGCAAGATGACGTTATCAATTACCCGTGGACTTGCCCATTTACATACTGAGTTTAAAAGTGGTGGTAAGTGTGTTCATTTCTCTGTAAAACTGTCATTTCTGTTTTATGTAATTATGATCAGTTTTATGCATGCACAGTTTGAGTGGAGTATACTAGAGGTAAAGAAAACGCATCCCTGTAAAATGCAGAAAAGGGAAAAAATGTGAAATAATAACTAAAATAATAATTAATTTTATCATCACAATGGAAGAGTGTAATAAATCAGCATTTCTTAAACTGTGGACCACGATTCTAAAAGGGATCACAAAGCGAAATGGTAGGGTTGCAAAAATTTAATTCAAATACATGAATCTAAAGAAATTACATTAATGAGATTTTTAAAGAAATTACATTAATTATAATCATTATATAAACCCCAAAAGGAATTATTGAGCTACCTATTTACTTGAAACTCAGGTTTCCACAAAAATCCTCGACGTCATCCTGTATCAGAGCTAGAACTGAATTTTTAAATCCAAATATCATTCAGCACATTAAAAGTATCCAAATATCATTCAGCACATTGAGGGGTAAAAGGCTGAAAATATATTATGCCCAGAAGTATCAAATATTGCATTATGAGTGTTTGTTATTGCAGCAAAAAGCAGGCTCAGTAAAACACGATTTTCTTTCATTAATTTTTGTACACATGAAACAAATTCTAACACTACTACTTTTCATATATACATTATTTACCAAACTTGTAAATTATCTACGGAAAAATTTTCATTCAATATTTAATATCTGGAGGTTTATTGAAGAAGCACTGTATTAAATTGATGTTTGTAATAAACCATGTTCATGTATAATACAATTATCAATGGCTGAAAAAATTATTATTTATTTGCTTTTTTTATATGCTGTATTCATTTTGCAGCCTTATGTTCACTGTTTTAGGCTTTTGTTTATTATTTTATTATCGACCCTTAATGGTGCAAAGCAGTTACAAATTTATATTTTAAAATGTTTGCTTTGTTTTACTTTCATGGAAACTTTTAATTATTGTTTGTGTTTAAATTTTATATAAGAATGTTTATAATAAATTCAGTATCTCAAATACTGCTGTCTTGAATTTCTGCTTATATCAAAGTTTCCATCAAGCCTATTATTCATTTGAGGAGAGATAATGCAAAAGTATTTGCTTGAAATTTTACTTTGAGTACTAAGCATATTCTAATTAATTCAATGAAAATGAACAAATGCCTTATTAGTATTATATAAGTTTGATGATTTTTTTTTCCTTTTGGTATGACAGACAGAAACGTGTCTTGTATGTTTTATATCAAAAGAAGGTACTAGATTTCAATTTTGATTTTAAACCATATTATAATTGTAAAAAATCCATGAAATTTAAATATATTTTTCATTGTAGCATCATATGAAAAGTTTCAGATCCAAGACACCATAACTATTTCCACATGTACATTTTTTTAAAAATTTCATTTTGTTTATTTAAATATTGTTAATGACAGAGTGTTAGAGTTGTAACAGCCTTTGCAGCATTACTACGATGTCATCCAATGAAATGAACATAATCCTCCATTTAGAATGCCAAACTCAATTAAGAAATTTGCAAAGTCTTAAGATCGAATCCAACAATCGCTAGTCCAGTGATCCAACTGGACCAAGGCCAAATCAGAAATTAGTTTTCTGTTGTAAGTATTTCACTGACATATGAGCAGCAAAATACTATGTGAGCTGTAGAATGTTTAAACTTTATTGCATTGAGAGGTATGTGCAGGCCTCAATGTATTGAGTCATGTATACTGCTCAAAAAAAAAAAAAAAAAAAAAAAAAAGAGGACAGTGCTATATCTCCCGTTCTACTGGGGTGATTCACGAAATTCAAATTGCGTTCTTCATGTCTCGAAAGCGCGACTTAGGATATATATTAGATTTATATATAGCACTATTCTAACATAGGTATTTTGACACAAAATCAGACTTTTTCTGAAATAACATACTAATTTTTTTACATATTTCGATTCTACGACTCAAATTATGCCAGAATACCAAGTTTTGTAAAAATTGTACGAGTAGTTTTTGAAATATTAGCTCTCAAAATTTCAAGAAAAATAAATTTTTTCGTAAAATTTAGTATTTGTACTTTTTTAATTTAAAACTTTTCAATGTTATGATATTTGATTCTTGCGATTTCAAAAATAAATATTTGAATAAAAATATGAATAACATTTTAAGAAACCAATGTAGGATAAAATTGTGTAAAGCAATGGGCACAATGATAAACTGTTTAAAAGCAGTGTATGCAAGTCATCCTAAGTTAAAATGTCGGTTATATACATCTCTCTTATTATATATATCTTTTCTGATGGAACATTGAAAGGCGTGTTAACTGTGCTTTACTGTATTTTCTCTTTTAATATATGCAGTTTTCAAACGCATCGTAGTCTGGGTTACAAGTATTCTTATTCTTCCGAAAGAAACGCAATTCAATAAAATCAAATTCTGGAAATTTATATTAATAAATATATTTAAAATGCTCAGTTCGAAGGAATAAAATAGAAAATTTTTAAATAATCACCTGAAGAGACAATGTAACACTAACAATTAAATAATAGTCTAAAAATTAATTAGTTTAAAATGTCGGTTATACATCTCTCTTATTTTATATATATCTTTTCTGAACGGAACATTGAAAGGCGTGTAAACTGTGCTTTACTGTATTTTTCTCTTTTACAGAGTACCTGACACAAACAATTGAAATAAAAGTAATAAACATTTTAAAATTACCTAAAATAATAACTATGATGAAAATATATATATAAAGAAAAGTATTTGAAAACAAAAAATGAACGCTGCACCTTTATTTACGCAGTTCGAATAGGTAAATAGAAATTTTTTAGAACAGTTATTCAAAAAAAAAAAAAACGTGCAACTTAAACAATTAAAATGAAATTAGAAAAAAGAAAAAAAAATTACTTAAAATAATAAGTTATAATTAAAAATATAATATAAAGAATATTATTTGGAAAAAAGGAACGATGGTGATTTTTTTTCCTCTCACGGGAAAGGAAACTAGGTTGCCATATATTAAGAAGTTCACCAAGTGAAATATTCTTGGCGCAAACTGACAAAAAAATGCCAACATAAATTTGTGAATTTCTCCGTAAATTTCGCTCCAAATTTTACAAAATTTCATATTTAGGCGTAATTTGAGTTGTAGAATCGAAATATATAAAAAAATTGCTATGTTATTTCAGAAAAAGTCCGATTTTGTGTCAAAATACCTATGTTAGAATAGTGCTATATATAAATCTAATATATATCCTAAGTCGCGCTTTCGAGACATGAAGAACGCAATTTAAATTTTGTCAATTGGCCCAGTAGATCAGGAGATATAGGACTGTCCCATTTTTTCTTTTAGCAGTGTACATGCAAATGCCAGTGTAATGGGAAACTTATGTGCAAATTCCATTAAAACTTATTGAGTGATGGTTGAAATATTACTGTGTTGCCACAAAATACCAAATTGATCAATCAGTCTAAGGTCCGGTTCAGTAACTGCCATTTATGAACCCAATGTCAAGTCAGACTACAAGTGTATTCTTGATCCAGAGTTATTAGTTCAGGAATCAGTTTTCTGCTGCAAGCAAATCACAAGAGAGTCTTGGCAGATTTAGTTGAGAGTAGTAGTTTGACTTGTATACATAAAATGGTGTCAGAAATTGTGTTGTACTGTACCATTGTACTTTGTTGTTTGTAATTTTTGGGTTTTGTTTAATTATCAGTTATGTTGCCAATTCTCCAAACTTGATGAAAAAGATTTACAAATTGCAAAATATTGCTAGATTTGTACCAAAACCCAAATGCTCTTCAAAATTCTACCAAAATCAAATTTTTAGATTTTTTATATACTCCTCCTACAGCAAATTTGGCGAAAAATTCATTTCTTTTGCTTTGTTGAAAATTTTGAAATTTTATACCCAAAAACTGATAAAATTTCGACTGAGCAGCTAATGTTTTTTGTGATAGGAAAAGTAGGCAGAAGTATAAAGATTGCACTAGTATACATAAAATACCAGCAGTATTTAATACCTAATGGAATTCAATTGCCTGGCCTGTAAAAGATAAGAAGGGGGAGTTAAGCTAAAAGGAGGTCATGAATGATGAAAATCTGTAATGTGAATATTTTTTCTTGTGTTTTTTCTAATTTAATATATATATTATTTTTAATGCATTTTAGATTTTTTTTATATATTTTAATTAATTTAACAGTTAAATTAGTTTAACAGTTAAATTTTGATAATGTAATTTATAATTTTTTAATTAAATATAATTTCAGACAAATTCAAACCTTGTATTGCACACAGAGATGTTACCTCTCGCAACATTATAGTAAAGCCAGATGGTACCTGCATGCTATGTGATTTTGGCTTTGCAATCCGTTTATGTGGCTCAAAATATATTTTGAATGGAGAAGAACAAGTTGCTGAAGAAACATCACTGGCTGATGTAAGATGTTCTTTTCCTCCTCCCTTCTCCTAGGTTTCCTTTTTAACATGCATTTTCATATTAACTCTGTTTTGAATTATTTTGCATTTCAGTTTCTCTTAACCTAATTAATTTAGTTTAAATTAGTTGCAATTAATGTTGCTTTACATATTTTCTCTTCATCTGTGTTCTTTCTTAGAGAATAAAAATTAATATAAAAGTTCAGAACTAAAATGTCCTAATTAGATATTCACATCAGTTTAATAATTTGTGAAATTCTATATCTGTCTGGTATTAATTAAAAAAAGATTCAAAGCATTTTTACAAAATAAATGATGCTGTCTATTTTAGGAGTATATTATTATGTGAATTCACATCAGTTCAGCTATCATATATGCGGATACGATTGAGTTTTCTTCACTGTGGAAAGTATAAGAAAATCTTAGGCTAAGATTTGTAAATACTGTTTGCTAATGAAGATTGTCATCGAGGTAATGAAACATTTGCAGAGTTTTCTGAAGAAAAAAAAAAATGGTACTGCATGCTATGTGATTAGTTAAATATCTGATGTAGAAAAAAAAAACTGTATATAACCTTTAAAAATCACGTATCATATTTCTGATCTTGTAGTGGTATTCTGTTTCATACCTGATAATTTGCTGAAGTTCTTCTGCATTCTATTAAAAGAGTTTAATCAGTTGAATATGTTGATTATATACAATTAAGCTCGTATTAAGGCATTGAGCTGAAATTCTCTTGGACAAAAATATTTAGCCCCCAAAAATAATAAATAATTAAAACACTATGAAATTATAGATAAACAGTTCCGTAACATATATTTTTGTCATTTAACAAAATATTATATGTTTAAAAAAAATTATGCATAAACTTATTTAACTTGAACGTGACAGCAAAAATTATTAATTTGCATTTCAAAACAATCTTATGCTATCTGCATTAGGATTGAGATTTCAGCTATGATGAAAAGATAAAAAGGTATATGTTAAAAGTATTGACATTAAACTAGATCTTTACTTTAAACGTGTAGTAGTTCAGTATAAAGTCTTTAATCCAGACCTTAAAGCTATAAACTTTCTGTGCATGCATAGTGTTTACGCATGTGCATATGTGTTTATGCATGCACATAATGCCTTTGCGCATGCACATAATATGTTTACGTTACTGAAATCAGCCAACTCCTGAAATTCGCGTTGCCTCTCAAAATATAAACATTCAGTTTATAGATTCCGGAAACTGCAACATTGAGTATGAAATATTGAAGAATAAATAATAATAATAATAATAATAATAAGATGTCATAATTACCAAATAATAATGAGTCATAATGGAAATACCAAATTATTGACATCATGATAAAAGTTTTTTCTCCTGTATTCTGCATCAAGGTAAGAAAGCAGACGATTCACTCAACTCTTCTTTTAAGTTTACAATTCACGTTGTTGTATTTTCTGAGCTTTGTTATTTCATGAGATTATTTAGTGCTGCCTTTTTTTATCCGGATATTTTGTGGATAACTTAAGAATATTTTTAAATTCAGCTCTTTTTAATACATTTACACATAAGAAACGCACTCATGATTTTACTGCTTGCAACGTTGAAAAACGTAAACACGTTGCATTGGCGGTAATGCAAAAAGTGCAAACTCTGCAAAAGATGGAGACAGGTGCATTTTATAGCAGAATCGTATGGAATTGCGATACGATTATGTGTGATATATGGAAAAATAAAGGAAAGCTGTTTAAATTTTACAGCAACAGTGATTCTAACACAGGAAATCTTTGCATGAGGCGAAGTTGGCAAACCTCGATGCTGTGTTTATATAATACAATGAAAAAGATAATCAATTTATATATGTAATAATAATTTAACGCATATAATAAGTTATTGCAATAATGTGTATAATAATTTAATTAAATGTATTTAATAGTTAAATCTTATTTATTTTGCACTTTTAGTCTGAATATTACGATTTATCTTTTCTGTCATGAAATCTGCAAAATCCTAAAATTCGCACGACCTCTGGACAGATTTCTGGACTTCTACTGTATAATGGATAGTATAAGCTAGGCTAAAATTATTTAATCTTCTAATTGGATCCGGCTTATTATTTTTTGCAGACTGTTAGAGCAATTTTATAAAAAGTAAGCTTGAACATTCGATTATGTCAAGAATTTCCGATTCTGGAGCTGCCAAAGGATCTACAAAGCGAAAACATGTTTCGTTGTCCATCAAACAAAAAGTGAAATTGCTGCAAAAAATGGGTAAAGGCATGAAGAAAGTGACAAAGAGGTTATGAAAATGAAAAAATTTCGTTTGACAAGTTAGTCTTTATTCTCAGCACAGCAATTACAGGACCTTGAACAGCGGAACTTTGTAACTGAACAAGAAATTATGTCTGTTTATAGAATTAAAGAGAAAGTATTAGCATAAAAAACGAAGCAACTTAAACAACTTACGTTGAAAGAAATGTTTAATAAAGTAAACAAATAAATATTAAGCTTTTTTTTTTTTTTTTTTATTTTGATACCCTTTAGATAATAATTGCTCTTTATTTCATAAATTACAGTTTTCATATTTTTAATTTTATAATTTCTGCATGCCATCTTACCAGATTTAAATTGATGAACTATAATCCGGAAAAACTCCTAATCCGGAATCGCCAAAGTCTCGACGAGTCCGGATTAAAGATTTTGTACTGTATATCCGTTTGGGACTGTGGAAACTGTACACATGTATTTGGAGTGCATTTTGCACTTATATCAGCAAACATTTTTCCAGAAGAGTCGACAGCAAAATCACCAGAGTTATAAGGTATTTTATGTTAACCAACCAATTATTATGATTTAAACCTTTACTATAATTTCTCCTTTCCGTTGTCCTCGCCAGAATATAAATTACTTGTGTGAGTATTTAAGTTGAAGGTTTCAAATTCTGTAAAGTTAAAGCTTTTGGAATACTTGCTTGTAGGTTAGATTATATTGCCAACTCTGCAAGAGATCATTCTGTTTTTAGTCATTTTGCATTAAAAATGTGCCAGTTAAGATATTTGAGCCAGCTTAAGATTAGGATGTTGATTAAGTAATTATTATGATTTGAATTTTTGCTTCTTTCTCTAGTTCTTACCAGAATGGAAACTGGTTATAGGGAATTTAAGCCAAGGGTTGGATTGTTTTAGAGTTAGAATTTCTGACAACCTCTGCTGCAGTTATGTACTTTTGCCAGCTCTGCCAGAGTTTATTCTGGCTTCAGCAATCTTGCTAGCTTATTTTAAAATTGCACTATTAAACCTAGATTAACCATTTGAGTCCTTGGGGGTATTTAAAAAACATTGTCTAAGAATCCCAAACACCGTAACGTGTTTTCTCTAAATGAGTATAAAAAGATCCAAGCAGCGCGATAGCGCTTGTTTTATTTTATGTCGAGAAATAACAAGCGATGCGATAGCACTTTGTTTATTTTACATCGATGTGCACTTGATTTAAATGAAGTGTCCACATTATTAACATCAAGTGCACCATCAGTTGTCCACAATGTTAAAAATGTACTGGGTTTTCTCGACATAAAATCTCAACAGCATGATCGTGCTGCTTAATTCTCAAACAGTTGAGCATGTGGGTGACGGGTGTCTCCCAGTGTTATTTATCACAAGTTTGCAACACTGTGTTCTCGGTTTTTGAAGTTGCAACTTTTTGTAGCTGAACATTAATTGTTGGTGTTTATTTTGGTGGTAGTAGCACAAAAAATAATTTTTCTTACTATAGATGTATTTTTAGGGTACTTGTAGAAAATCCCGTCGACCATTTTTGCCTATTAAAGAAAAGACGCAAACTATGCGATTTTTTGGCAAAAATGGAAAAATCTTCTTCAAACATGCTTGGTTTGGTGTAACCTTGATTTTATACGTTGTTAGTATTCATGAGTAAAGACTTCTTTTTTTCCCCTCTGTCATGCATTTTTTGGGGGGGGGGGGAAAAAATGATTAAAATTTGCCTACTACAGAAGAGCATGCTTTTGAATATTTCCAAAGTTATGGATGCTTACCGGCCTCCGAAAAATGCGTTAATGGCCATGGAATGGCACTATATTTAAAAACTGAGAAGGAATAATAAATAAAAAAATAATGGAATTTTTTAATGAGAAATTAAATATAAATAAATGATAATATAATAAATTTGAAAGAAAAATAAGAATAGAATGGTTTTTCTTGTATTTAGTATTTATTTATTTATTTGGCGCAATTGCCGCCTTCTCTTGAGGTCGACGGGATTTTCCGTTAGTATCTATTTTAGTAGGTGGGTCATACCTATCATCTACGCCCCTAATGGTGCATCATGAACGTATGCAGCTAAGGCAGGGTTATTCCTTGAGCCATCTTAGGTAGATTATATTGTGTATAGTCCGAGGCTATGTTACTTGAATTTAACTTCAGCTTACATTATTTTAAAACCCTAAAAATGATGGAGTTTCGTCTGTAATGCAAGTAGTGCCTTCTGTTAATTTCATGAGTTCAAATAAGAAGGTTATGTGAAACGTCTTAAGACTTTGACATCCTAATTCATACTAGAGCAATAATTTGCTTGTTTGCAGTCTAGTGGGATATGAAAGACACTTGAGTAAAACTTCTAGACATAGCAGAACTGTACATAAGTAGACAATTTTGTGTGGTCTCTGACTATGTTACTTGAATTTCAACTTACATTATTTTGAATTTCCACAAGTGGCAAAGTTTAATTGTATGCACAAATAGTGACTTCTCTTTTATTTAATGATTAAATAAAAAATATTTTAATTTTCTCAGGACTTCATCATCTTAATTCAGACTGGAGCGATAATTCACTTGTTAGTTAAGTATGATCTTAAGGACATTAATTTGAACTTCTACCCAATAAAACCCTACAGAAAAACTATAGTAGAATGGTGTCCAAGACTGGTTAAGTGTATGTTTTATGCACTTTTGGCAACAGCTTTTATAGAGTTTTTCATTATGTAGAATAAAAGTAACTAGTTTTTTCCTGATGTACAGGATATGAAATAAATTTTTGATGTTCTTAAAGATTTTTAATTTTATATGGTATGTGTTATATTTAGGTTGGAACTTTAAGGTATATGGCTCCAGAAATTTTGGAAGGAGCTGTAAATCTTCGAGATTGTGAATCTTCGCTAAAACAAACTGATGTGTATGCTCTGGGGTTGGTCATATGGGAAATTGCAAGCAGATGTTCTGATCTTTTCCAAGGTAATTTATTTGGTAGTCTTACAACCAACTTATATTCAAAATATTTTTTTTAATTAATGTTTCTACGATCGTCTTTTACAGAAAATTTTTATTCTGTTTTTAATTGCTGTAGTATTTGAAACTGTAACTGAAACTTTTTGGTGTAATTAAATTCATAAAAATTCATTAAATTAGAATATCATTTTAAAGTGGCTTAGAAAATGTTTGACATATTTGAATGATTGTTCAAAGCTACTTCCATACTATTACAACCTGTGTTATTTAATTTGCACTAAGATTACAATTAAGTTTTCATTAAGAAAAATCCAAGAACATGCATAGCAAATATGTGTTCTCATCATCTTTTTATTTGACATTTGTTCTCTATGCATACTTTTTAATTAACATTTGTTCCCTATCCAACAATACAGTAAAAGCTCAACTATCCATAAAGCTCAGGCAATGCTGAAATCTGGGCACTTGAAAATTTCGGATATAAAATTCATGTTAGAAAATTCTAATGAACGAGAAAAACTTTTTGCTCTAAAATTATAAAAACAATCATGTTATTGTTAACAATTTAAATATCATGCCGAGATTTAAAATAATATATGATTTTGAAAAAAATTCAGTCATAAAGCTGAGATATTTCTTAGGCCTCAACCATGAAAGCAAAACATCTAATGCAATTGAGAAATTTAGTTGAACACGAAAGTTCATGGAGGTGTCACCAGTCACTGTAGCAAAAATTTAAACAAACAGATCATTCTTCATTCGGTTAGATAATTAACAGATGCAATTTACGAGTATAGCTTATTAAAAATTTAAATCGCTTATAATTTTTCATGTTACATAGCCATTGTTTATCTATTTTCAGAGTTGCATGTTGTGACATTTTCTGATGCCTGAATCTTGTAAATTTGAAAATACTTCACTTCATTCTATAACAAATATTAATAATTTTTCCAAAATAAGGGGGAAAATAGAACTTAGGTCCTTTTTTACAAAAATTGAACCGGCTTGTCGAGAGTTAATTGAGTTTACATTAAACCAAAACGAACTTATAATTGTATTTTGAGATCATGCTTATCCATTACTGGTATTAAATCATGCTGTTTGCTACTGTTTTTTCTAAGTAAAAATTTTTCTAAAATTCTACAGTGTTCTGGTTACTTAAGCTTTCCATTTAGTTGAATGCTGTATAGTCGGGCTTTTACTGTATTGCAGCACTGTTACAAATGGTATTCTCGAACCACTGCACCACTTGTCTTATGTATATTGTTTTTCCACTTGTAGCTTTCTATGTTGCCCCTTCAAATCATTTTGTTGATAGATTTTCATGCTGTGGTCATTTGCATATTTGAATACTAGGAATTCCTCTTTTTTGCAAGAATTAAATTGCATACATATTTTTTTTAAGTTAAAATTTGAAAGAAATACAGTCAAATACCTGAAATCTGCCAACTCCTGAAATACGTGTTGCGTCTCAAAATATAAATAATTCAGTTTATAGGTTCCGGAAACCGCAGCATTGAGTACGAAATATCGAAGAAAAAATACTTAACGAATAACGATGTCACAACTACCGAATAATAATGGGTCATAATGGAAATTCCAAATTATTGACATCATGATAAAAGTTTTTTCCTCTCTAATCTGCATCGAGGTGAAAAAGCAGACGATTCGCTCAACTCTTCTTTCAAGTTCACAATTCACATTGTTGTATTTTCTGAGCTTTGTTATTTCACAAGATTATTTAGTGCCGCCTTTTTTTTTATCTGTATATTTTGTAGATAAATTAAAAGTATTTTAAATTTTAGCCCTTTTTAATTCATTTACAGATAAGAAACACACTCATGGTTTTACTGCTTGCAACGTTGAAAAACATGAAAAACGTAAACACGTTGCATTGACAGTAATGCAAAAAGTGCAAATTCTGCAAAAGATGCAGACAAGTGCTACTCCTCGATTTATAGCAGAATCGTATAGAATTGCGATATGATTGTGTATGATATACGGAAAAATATAGAAAAGCTGTTGAAATTTTACAGTAACAGTGATTCTAACACCGAAATCGGAAATCTTTGCATGGGGCGAAATCGGCAAACCTCAATGCTGTGTGTATATATGCAATACAATATAATCTATTTATATATGTAAAATTAATTTAATGCATATATTATGTTATTGCAATAATGTATATAACAATTTAATAAATTTATCTAATATGCCTTATTTATTTTGCAATTTTAGTCTGAATATTATGAGTTATCTTTTCTATCCTGAAATTCGCAAAATCCTAAAATCTGCACAACCTCTGGTCCCAAGCTTTGTGGATTTCTGGACTTTTACTGTACTACAAAATTTGGTAAACAACAACATGTGACTTATTCAAAGCTCTTCTCATGGCAGATTAACTATGAATTATTATTATTATTTATAATACCACATATGTTATCTTATGAAGTCATGATTTGCCACATATGTTGGCAATTTATGATAAAATATGAATCTAATTGTTGTTTAAATACCAAGAAAAATATTTTTCAAATTGAATGAATTTTAAATGGCATTCAAATATTGTTAATAGTTGTAATAAATTATTAATTTGCAATATAATGTTATTAGAACTATAAATTACAAATCAATTTATGCAATGTTTTTGGCCATATCTTTTTTAGATTTTGGATAAGCCAAAATTGGAAAGGCGTGGAGGAAAATGATTATTGAAAATTTGGCTTATTGAGAAAAATTAGCATAAATTTGAATTCTACGTACAGTAAACAAGAAATTATGTCTGTTTATAGAATTGAAGAGAAAGTATTAGCACAAAAAACGAAGCAACTTAAACAACTTACATTGATAGAAATGTTTACTAAAGCAAACAAATAAATTTTAAGCTCAAACAAATAATTTTTTTTTTTTTTTTTTGTGTGTGTGTGTGGTGTGTGTGTGTGTGAATTTTGGTACCCTATAGATCATGATTGCTCTTTATTTCATAAATTATGGTTTCATATTTTTAATTATATTATTTCTGCATGCTGTCTTACCAGATTTAAATTGATGATCTATAATCCGGAATCGCCGAAGTCCCGACGAGTGCAGATTACGGACATTTATCATACTGTATAGACATTTAGTTGGATTTATCAAAGTTCTACTGCAGTTAGCTGAGAATGTTACATAAAATTATAAAACTATGTAGCGTCTAATTTTTGTCTCTTTAACTATCAGGAATATTGAGTTTTATCTTACTATTTGTAACTATTTTTCATTTAACTCTGTTTTGCTAATTTTGTATTCAATTTATTCCTGAATTTTTGATAGGGGTAGAAGTTCCACCTTACAAACAGCCATTTGAAGCTGAAATTGGACTTGATCCTACCATGGAGCAGATGCAGTCCCTTGTAGCTAAACTCAAAGCACGACCTTTATTCCCTGACATTTGGAAAGGAACTAATCCAGTAATAATTTATAACTTTCATAAAATTTCATTATCAGATTCAGTAATATGAGTCTGAATCTGCTAAATGTATTGTGAAGTTTCTTGTTAATGCATTCCCTGTTGTAGCTGTATTATATTGTACTGAGGCCATTAAATTTACACTTTACTGAAGCCATGTCTTCAAGGTTAATAAATTAATCCCTGTCAACAGATCATGCTGTGTTAACGTTTTTAATATACAAATAATAATGTTTGTATGAATACAAATACTTTTTTTTGAAAAACATACATATAAAAATAAAATGTAACAATTATCTTTAAATTGATGATAATGCAAAATGTTTGATGATTATAAAACCTTTGTTATAATAACATTTGGCCATGGCCCAAAATCAAAAGTATGCTGGGTGTCATGGGGATGGGCTTTCTTCATGTGGAACATGTTAAAATATCTTATTCTACTAAATATGATCTCATTTGGCGCATTATTCTCTACGATAACATTAATTCGTAATGTATACTTTAAACATACATAATGCATACATATTTTTATGAGCTGTCATTTAAAATGTTTCTGTATGTTTAAAAATCATATCTTAAGAAATTATAAATTTATAAAATGTTTGATTATATTCTGATATCCCCATCTCTGGATGTTTGTTAAGTACTGGCAGATAAATAATAGGTAAGATCAAATTTTAACTTTAATTTTTAATAACTCTTTAAGACTTCTTTTTAATGTGGTTACTTCTTTTGTAAATATTTATACAACAAATAAATTGAAGTAAGCACAAAAAAAGAAAAAAATTTTTTTTGCTTACCTTGTCTTCTGGATAGTCATGTTTTCCTTTAAGTGATCCAAAAGAGATTGCCCATGAAGTGGTAAATGAAACACATTTATTTAATACATTAGTGCATGTTTAACATAGAATATGAATAGTTATATGTGATGTTTAGTAGAGAATTTTATATGGTCGTTATGTCACAGTTTGTTTTTTACTTTTTCCTTTTACATTGGCATGGAGTGAAATGTTGCAAGTTTCACTGTTCCTTTACTGGAGCAGAGCAAGAATTGAGCGATTATCGCTCTGTTATTAATTAACGATGTCCATCACTGTATACCAGCAGCTTATGTTTTTTATCCTAAAAATAATAATATGCTTATAATAAATATCTCTGCCACTGCCAGTTAGTTAAGTGGTTAGTGCTCCTGGCTGCTGTATCATTCATTAGTTTCAGATTTGAATCCCATAAGGCATGAACGTTTGTAAATGCATAGTGTCTCTGTGGCAAGGGAACACTCAAAATACGTGGCCAAAAAGCCTTTCAAGTGGTTTGGTGGTAGGAAAAAAAGGGGTGAGAAGCCCTCAGTTCCATTCCCTGGGGTGTTCTCTGTTAAAACTTTGTGGAGCTCGGCAAGGTCATACTGTCAGATACATGGTGTTCAAGGCCCATGCCAGCAACAGATGCAATCTTGCACTCTTTGCCATGATAAAATTTGTGGATTTGTTCTGATTAGGTCAGAGAAATAAGTCATAACAACATAAATCTCTCTGAACTGCATCATTTCAAAATTAATCTATCACGTGATTTTTATATAAGGTTCATGGCATAAATACTTGCATAGCAGCAAAGGTGAAAATGAAGACTTTTTTAGCCAATAGAAAATAAAGCCATACCATAATTTCACTAGTCTTTATCTAATCAAATTTCATGATCTGCTTACTCTACTCTTGCTTACTTTTATGCTGCTGACATCGTGTCTTCTACGTTGCATTTCTATGATTATGTGAAATATTTTGTGTTACTATGTTGTTTTATTACTCAATAAAATATGTTTCAGTATGCATAATCGGTAAAAGATTCATCATGCATCTATCTCTTCATGAAATTTCTATGTTATTGTCATCAATTTATTTTTCATTATATATCAGTGTCTTGATAATAATTCTAATAAGATACAGAAATTCTCAACACTTGTCAACCATCTAAAAAGAATTATATTCTAATTTTGCTCTCAACATGTGAATGCAGCATGATAACTGAATTGATATCTTTTATAAGTTTCAAGTGCCAGAGCCTAAAAATTTTGTTTAAAGTATTATGAATGTAGTTTTTTTAACCATTTTTATGATGTGGAGCATTGCTTGTGATAATATCGTGCTTAACGAGTCCAGATTTATTAAGTCACAGACTGGCAGAGAAACGTCATGATTTATTGTATCTTCTAGGTTAAGATTCATCATTTAAAAAGTGTTCTTTCAGCTTGAGAAAACTATAGTGTTTGTGAAAACAGAGTTAATATTGCCACCATCTGTCTGTTTCTATTATTGTTCTTTCTTAAAACGAGTTATATTGAGTTAATTCAAAAGAAATGCTGATTTTAAGGACGACTGAAATCTATTTAATCAAGCTCCTGCAACATTCAGTGTATTGTTTACCAAACTGTAGCAAGGTTATTTACATCACATTTGTAAAAATTGTGCAAGTTATAAAGTCCCCCATTGCTTGGTAAACTGATATGTCACTGACAAAACATTTCTTGGGGTGGGGGACACTCAAGCTTCGAAACAAGTTATAATCTGTTGAAGAAATATTATCAGGTCATTATGGATGATGAGTCACAATTTTTCATTATTAAAATTTGCTGTAAGGTTGAAACTAATGTATGTGTTTAGGAATTACCTTGAAGCGATGGGACTTGTATCTGTTTACAGTTACACAATTTAAGCTGTTTATCATGTATTTTCTGTATCTGTATGTACCAAGCAGCATTTATCTTTTTGCATTGTGAGAGACATTAGTTAATAACACTAACTAAAGGTTCTGATATAGGGAACAGTACCTTTTGTGGATGCAAAAGTAATTTTGAGATCTTTTCTGGAACTTCTTTCACTCCCAGCCACTGCATAAGCATGTATGATTGTTGTAAAATATCCAGTTGTCATCTACAGCTTCAATTTGATTGCAGGAAACTACAAAATATGTAAAGGGCATTATATTCCTTACTTCTTAAGAGAGAAGAGCATACTCTCACATGCCATGTTTTATTTTCATAAACGAGTTTGTGTGGCATCCACTTGAGCTTTCTTATTTTTCCTTTCATTGTGGAAAGTCATGATACAGCTGAAAAACAAACGTTTAACATCTGGATATCTCTTCTTCGTAATTTTTTTTGTTCAAAATCTAATTTTATTGGATTGGCACCCTAGATGAGATTGCCTATGTCATTTAGACTTAGAATCAGTCCCAGTATTATATATTTAATAATAGCTGTTAATTCTGGTATTTCTCCACATTTCAAAGTAAATTTAGATAAACATAGAATGTTTTAAATTAAATGGTGTTCAAATTTAAATGTATATTATTAACATTGAAATATAGCATATCCATATTAAATTATGACACAAATAACCACTTACTATATTTGAAATATATATTCATATTAAATTGAGTCATGAATAAATAAGCATTTATGTTTATAAATCTTACAGCATAATATTTTCATTCTTTGTACTGTATGTTTTTCTAACAATAGTGCATAATTGCTTACATGAACCCAAAGCAAAAGTCTTTTCCCAGGTACTGAATTTAGAAGTAATAAAATTTGTGCCTGTATGTATGCCTTTGTATTTATAATTAAAATGTACAGTAACTTGGCAACATTATTTCATTTTAAAAGACAAAATAACAGCTCATCGTTATTGTTATGAAATGTCAGTATAACTGTGTTTTTGCTAATCATTAATTCACACTTGTTAATTATAAATTGATTCAGCGTGTAATTAAGTTGATAATGATTTTTTTTTTTTTCTGTAAATTCTCTGTAGGCTATTCGTTCTCTGAAAGAAACTATTGAGGACTGTTGGGATCAAGATGCAGAAGCCAGATTAACTACATTATGTGTTAAAGAACGGCTTATGGAGCTTCCTGTTTTATGGGAGCGTTACAAAGGTACTTTGAAACTAAATTAAAATCATTCTTATATTAAATTTTGCACATGTGTATGTTCTTGAAATATGTTTATTTTTTTTTATATTGGGATACTCATTAATATACTATGTATCAGTGTATCAGTGGCATTCAGTCTTTTCATGATTGTATGTATGCTAACATGAATCTCCATATGCTACCTGACTCTACTGAAGTATTATTTTGGAGACACTAGGCTATCTTGTAAATTAACCTACAGTCAGTGCCCAATTAACCTAGGGCAGAGTTAACTGGACTTTAATAAAAGTTAAGTTTGTTTATTGCAAAATGCAGCAAAAATTAGTATCAAAAACTGTCAATATGAAACAAAACTGTTTATGAAAAATACTTAAAGGAAAAGAAAAATTTGTTAATAACAGTGATTGTAATTAAAGTTCCAGTATCAGGAGTTGTTTTTGTCCACAACGGTAAGTTATTTAATTGTACACAATATGAATGTATAAATATTTTTAAATTATTAAATAAAAGTAAATTGCTCAATTTTTAAAATAAATCAAGTGTACAACCATTAATATTTCTGCTTCACATTGACTTTTTTTGAAATATGAGAATAATGAAAAACTAAAAGCATGTGTGCTAATTGACTCGTATGGAAATGTGAGAGTAAAGAAAAACAAAAAGCATTTACTCTTTTAATTGAGGAAGAAATAGGGATAGGAACAGGAAGAAACAAAGAGAAAAAGAGGGTGTGAATTGTACTTGAGAGATAAAAACTTTGAGTGTTGATTTAATAAACTGACCAAATGAACTTATTTTCCAGATGAAACTGCATGAAAATACTCGTAAATAGTTAATATCTTTTATTTTTTAAGGGTTGGGGTTATGAGTTATTCTTCCTTACTGCAGCTTTTTAAATACCCTCAGATTTTTATTTTATGTTATGAGTTAACCATAAACATCATCCCTGGCAATATCCTAGTTAGTTAGGAGTTCTGGAAAAGGTTAAAATTATAATTAAGTAGTATACACTTTTCAAAGGGCATTATTGTTGCATTTATTAGCATTATTTATTATTAAATCATCAGTTTAAATCTCGTAAGATGGCATGCAGAAATTCTAAAATTAAAAATATGAAACCGTAATTTATGAAATAAAGAACAATTATGATCTAAAGGGTATCAAAATTTAGAAAAAAAAAAAAAAAAAGCTTAATATTTTTTGTTTACTTATTAAACATTTCTTTCAATGTAAGTTGTTTAAGTTGCTTCGTTTTTATGTGATAATACTTTCTCTTTAATCTATAAACAGGCATAATTCTTGTTCAGTTACAAAGTTCCGCTGTTCAAGTCTCGTTAATTGCTGTGCCGAGAATACCGACTAACTTGTCAATCAAATTTTTTTCGTTTTCACTAACCTCTCTGTCACATTCTTCATGTCTTTATCCAATTTTTGCAGCAATTCCACTTTTTGTTTGATGGACATCGAAACATACTTTCGTTTTGTACGATCCTTTGGGAGCTCCAGCATCGGAAATTCTATTTGACATAATCGAAAGTTCAAGTTTACTTTTATAATATTGCTCTTACAGTCTGCAAAAAATAATAAGCCGGATCCAATTCGAAGATTAAGGAACAACGCAATCATCAACATTAACTGAAATAGATAATTAGATAATTTTAGCTTATACCGTCCCTTATACATAAAAGCGCACACATATGCGCAGTCGTAAAAGGTCGTACGCACACGTGTAGACGCCTATTGCACATGTGTCAATGCGGCGCATGCGCAGAAAGTTTTTAGCTTTGAGGTCCGGATTATAGGTGTCCGAATTAACGACTTTTGACTGTACATACTTATTGTTGACGAAATTTTCAAAGCAAAGCCTGAAGTGCTTATTGTAAGTTTACTTTAAGAAATAGCATAATCATGATGCTAAAGAGCAAGCTTTAGATTATTTACAGTAATAGATTATTAAATATAGTACGTATAAACATCTTTCTATTGTCAAAAATGCAAAACATAACAAGGAATAACAAGAATATTAATAAATCTAAAATTTCAATTTTAGCACTTTTTAAATACCTGCTAGTAGTGTTTGTAATCCATCTGCATATGTAAGTCATATAATGATAGAATTAGCCTAGAAAATGAATTTAGTAAAAAGTTTACTGCAGCGATTTTGGTAAACAATGTATTTATTTATTTATTTATTCATTTTTCTTTTGTTTAAGAACATAAAAATTACTTTGCAAGTGATTTCAGTGCTGGATCCTGTAGGAAGTGTTTTGTTGCATTTTATTGTCTCATTCAGCCTGTATTCTCTCTAATATCTTTACCTGTGAACTGTCATTAGTAAAGTATTTAAAGTATGTCTTTTAATTATAATCAAAGACTGTTAATTTAATGTAAAAATTAGAATGGGAGAAAAATACACAAAGCTCAAAAAGCTGTAAAATTCTTGACTCTTTATAAGCCTTGGTCTCATGATGTACAAATTATCTGAATTCTACTGTAGTAATAAATACTCAAATATATGTGATAATTTGCATCATTTTGTAAAACTGATTTATTTTTTATTTTATTGTTTCTAGCGGGACTTGGCATTCCTGGAGGAATTAGCCCAACATTAAATTCTACAGTTGACCTTCATGAATCATCAAACTTGCAAAAAAAATCTTGCACTGACAGTGATCTTGGTTTAGATATAACTGATCAAGACCAGCTGATTATACCTCAACAAAGAACCAACAGTGTATCAGAATGCACTACTGAGACACTTCTTTCCCCTTCTGATACGAATTTGAAGAATTTTTTAAATAGCAATGATTCTTCTGTCACAAAAGTTTCTGTTCCGTTGCAACCCCACCAAGGTCGTAATCCATGCTTGGCGAGGAATCTTCTGCAAGAGCAATCAGATGACCTGCCAATCATTGGCAATGTTTTGCATGATGAAAATTCAAAATATATCTCAGATAACAAAATTTATTCCTTTTCTGATGGTGATGCAAATATATTCAGTGTACCTAATGGCATGCAAAGTAGCTTGCTTGCCTCAAGTGATTGTATCAACCATTCCAGGGTTTGTAACCCCATTCCGTATGTCCAGAACCATATTAATTTCCCCAGCATCATTCCTAAGCAACCAAACATACCAGCAAACATGGGCTCTAAAGACTTGTTCAAGAAGGATGAAAAGCGTTGGGGTCCATTTCGTTATTTTGGCAGAAAAACTGCTAAAGACAGCATTAGAGCTGGATTAAAGATACTTCTGGATCGTAAAACATCTATGAGCAATGGTTATTTACCTGAAGAACAGCAGCCGTTGAAGAATTCAAGCATTTCATCACCTATTTCACCAAGTGAATCAAATATAAAACATGGACAGATAAATCCTGTGAACTCATTTTGGACTTGTAATGAAGTTAGAGAAACAGATCATACTGTGAACAGAGAAGGTAAAATTTCAAAGCCAGAAGGCTCAGTTCCTTTAGTGAGACCATTGAACAACAATCCTGAAAAAGTTGAAGGCCAGAAAAATATTTTAGAGAATGATAGTCATCTTCTTAATGGGTATGCAGTAGTAATTGATGATAAAGAAAATAACCACAATGTTTCACCTGATTTTACTACAGAAAACAAAATAAAGCCAGAAGAAAGAGAAAAATCAAAACGTCCTACCACACTACCTGTTCAGTCATTCAGCGATGACCAAGATGATGAGGAGTTGTTGGAAATTTCGAATATGGACATCTCAAAGGAATCTGTTAATGAGCAGGTCCTCCAGCAAGAAAAAACAAATAATAAAACTGTAGCAATTCGACGTAAGGGGAGTGGAAATAAACGTAAAGGAGTGAAACGTGTGAAAACACCTTTTGAGATCAAGGGCAGGTTTTCCTTGTATGATGACAGAATCATGTCATCTCAGGAATTACCCACTGGAGTTATTGATTGTACTTCTCATGTGATGCAGTCTCAGCTAGATAATACTAAATTTTCTGCTTCTGTTCCATTGAATATGAATACTCTTTGTTTAACTTCTCAGGCATCTAGTACCGTGCCATTGGACCAAACAAAAGAAACGGAATGTCAGAAAGCTGACGAGGACAGACCATTAAATGTTTCAGTTGCACCCGTCAACTGTCATGGTCATCAAAATATAATTTCATTGTGTGACATTTGAAAGAGTAGTGATATACAGTTTCCATTTTTATCTGTGAAGTGAATTTTTTCAGTCTCTATTTCATTTTTTCAAAAACTGCATTTGCTAGATGCATATGTTCTATTTTCCAATTATTCTAAGCTGAAGCATCTTTTCTTTTACCCACAATGATGGAGAATTATTGAGTATGCATTCTGATATACACTAAAGTTTAAATGTTCTGTTTTAAATAATGTGTGTGTTCATTTTATGAAGAATGTAGAGATAAAAAGGAAATAGTTCGCATACATTTTTTGAAACTCTGAACTGCAAATTAGATTTGCTCCAGTTTTGAATTTCACTGAGCCATTTTTAATGATAAATCATTTCCCCCCAATGTATCAAAAAAGTAGTATAAAGGAAAGATCTTATTGGTACTCATTTTTGTTCATCAAGTAAACCAGTTGCCATTTTAAATACTTCTAAAGCATTCCCTAAAACTTTGATTAACAAGGAACTTTTATGGAAGGAATATGTTTTTACTATTGATGCATCTTAAGGGAACAGTACTCTACCTCGAATTGTGTTATGTGTTACAAATATTATTTGTCTCATTTGAATGTACTTTTCCATTTTCTAGTGTAATGTAAAAGATTGGTTGCAAAATTTTTTCATTGAAGTTTTACACCAGCTTTTGTCAAGCTGTTAATTCCTGAGTGAAAAAGAGAAGTGTACGTCATTTCATTTTAGTTGAAGATCAGTTAACGTTCAATTTTCTAAACAGTACAACATCATGAAATAAAATAAATGACATAAATATGTTCCAGTTGTGATTGCAAAGGGCTGAAGGACTACTTAGAGAAAAAAAAAAGTTTAATGGTGCTTCTTTATTTTCTATAAAATTAAAATTTCACTATCCTCCCCAAAAATGTGCACAACATGCCTGAAATCTTTACTAAACTAGTAAAGCATTTAATGTGCCAACATGGATGTAGTTGTAATTATTAGATAATTTTTTTATTTATTTGATATGTGACAAAATTATACAACTATGTTAATTTCACTATTATTAAGAGTTTCAGTCAGCTGATTTACATGGCTTCAGTACCTAGAATGATGTTAGTGTTTACTTACTGAAGAACTTTATTTTGATTAATATTTCTTTCATACACATATGCTTTTAACAGTGCTTTCAAATATACATTATGTATGTAGACGTATGGACTTACTACTGCATTGGAAAAGTACTAAACTGAAGCTACATAAAATGTGGTACATCAAAAGAATGAAGGAATAGTTTTTAATAAGTAGACTTTTTTATAACATTTTATTCTACCTTAAGAATCATTAATTTAAATTGTTAATAAACAGTTTGTGAATACCTTAGTCTAATATGTAGTTTTGGATATTTATGATGGGTCTTAATGAAATAAGTTTTTATCAAGTACTTTTAAAGTTGCCTGTATCCGTAAAAATGTAAGATTTTTTATTTTTGGGTTAAATTTCTAAATTTTATAATAAATTAGAGCATTGAAAAAACTCTTGACATAGTATGTAACTTATGTATTCAATAGCATTTATACGTGTCTGATCTTTAAATTTTAAAAAATGGTAAAAATATATCTTTAAATGATAAATATTCATTTTGTCATATTTCTTTATTTTCAGATTTTTTCTGTTATAACTTACAAAGCAATTATTAAAGAGTAGTTCGAATTTGTTATATTAAATCAAAGATAGATCTGTGGACTAGTTTTGATTTTAAAAAAGAAAAAGAATGTAACTAATGCCTTAAATTAGATGATTAAATTTGAAATTATAAAATTATATATATTTATGAAACAATGTTATCTGTGTGAAATAATTTAAAGACACCTTACAACTATCCCTCAGTTTTTCTCTATTCATTATGAATCAAATATTGAATCTGCATTACTTTAATTAAAACATGCTGATTTCTTAAAGACATTTTCTTTTGTAAAATAGGAAATTGAAAATTGAACTGTATATCATGGTTAGTAATTGTACAGTATTGTTAAGTTATGCATCGTATTAAATCTCATAGTTTATAGTTTAGCCTTTATTCTTTATTTTTGAAAATATGTGTTTCTGTTTTATGGAAAACACTAAATATCACATATTTAGTGCTTGTCAGGAATAAAAGAGATAATAATAAAATTTAGCCATGCTGCAAAAATGTTTAGCACTACATCAAAGTATTGCATAATTTCTTCAGATTTTTCTTTGTGAGTCATTTATTTAATTATTTTGAGAGAGGAAGGGGCAGTGTTATCTGTGAAGAAATTTTTCTTGAATATGAGAGAAAAATATCATCCTTGTTCTCAAAATTATGAATTTACTCTGATCATTTCTGAACATAATCCCAGGTTAGAGGTAGTACAATGCAAAGTATTATCAAGTCAATGGATTGTGAGCATTAACATCTTTCCTCTTAAGCTTTTGATAAACTGTGACTGTCATATTTCTAATAGGTATAGTGAATCATAAATCATAAAATCTCTAAGGAGCTGACTTTCATGAGAATAAAATAGCAATTTCGGAATATTTCAAACTGGGAATGCTCTGCTTGCAAAGAAATCAATGAAAATAATCATCTTTATGTAAAAAATCAATAATTAAATTAAAACTTAGTTACCATATTTTGTTATTTTAGAATAATACTAATTACTTTTAAATCAGTTTTTAGTCTAATATGATTATAGAAAAGCCAAGTACTCAGTTTCAAGAAATGATATAATAGTTTAATTATCATGGTTCATAAACTCAAATATTCAATAACTTTGGGATAGTTGTGAATTTTAAATTGCTTTTTATATTTTGAAAGTGTTTTTGTTTAATTTGAATATTAATTCTGTAAAAAATCAGTTTCTTCTTATTATTATATCTAAAATCGTTCTACTGTGATAATTCTTAAAAAATATTTACCAAAAAGAATTTCTGTAACATTTGTACTCGTTATATATTTCTTGTGCAATGGAATGAGAATATACTTAATCCAGTAATTTTATCAGAGTTTCATTTTCCATTTGGAATTATAAGATGTTAAAATACTATTATGAAAAAGTAATATGGAGTATCTATATAGAAGAAAAATTTAGGATAGATTTAGGAAGAAATGTAAAACTTAAGTTTCAGATAATATACATACGGAAATAGTATGTATAAATTAGATATACATACATAAATAGATGTATAAATTTTTATTTCATTAATGATACTGAAAGTGATTAAAAACTGGCTGTGTAAGTTACATTGAATTATGCTTCCCGGTGTTTAAATAGTTATAAAATAATAAAAACTTTTTTAATCTTTATAAATAAATTCTTTTACTTCCATGATATTAAAAGTTACAAGTATAAGATTTTAGCTGGATGTTGTAACTCACTTAATAGTGAGATAAACTATTTTTGTTAATAAGGTTTTTATTATTAAATATATGTGAGAGGAGGTTAGAAGTGAGTGCAAATTACCAAATGCTTGTTAACTGTTTTGTAAACTAAGTATGTACTACACAAGTTCTTGATGTTTCAATGTTATACAATGTTTATTGTTGAAGTAAGATCATGGCTTATTTTACTTTGCAATTTAAGGTACAAGAAAAATAATGTATAATAGTATGTTTTCCATATAATATCACGGCTAAATTTCTCAGTTTGTATTTAAATGAAGCAACAGCTGATGATCTAAATACAATGTAAAGGGAAAATAAACTATGTAAGGTGCAGTATATGGCATGGTACATTAAAAAATGTAATCTGAAATTTATTCACTAATAAATTTTACTAATTTTTCTTATATAGGTGCAGAAGAGGTATTTAGTACAACCTCTTTGGAGTAGTTAGATGTTTTTTACAAAAGAAAAACATTCGTGGCTTACAAATTACATGACATGCAAAAAAATTATTTGTTACATATATATATTTAATATTTGAATTGTTTACCCTAAAAATCGATTGTCTTACTTGCAAGCGAACATTTGTTTCTTTTCTTGCAAAGGAAATTTCATAGTATAATTAGAGATTTTGTGGCAAAGTAATGTATTATTGCAAAAATCTTACACAGTTTTTTCCCCATTGTTGGTAAATCCCATATTTTAAAACAAAAAATATCATGATATGTCTATGAAAACGATTTGAACTAGGACTATAACAAAAAGAATCCATTAAAATAGTGACATTACTATTGAAACTGAAGAATTGTATGTGCATGGTTGCCAGAGTTTTGAAACTTCTGCTAAAGTGGTTGAGTTAATATGTAAACACCATACAGGATTCATAATCTATTGATCTTGTGTAATTTCATATACCTGTACTCTCATATATATATATATATATATATATGTGTGTGTGTGTGTGTATCTTTTCCCCTTCTCATAATATTTGTCACATATAGAATAAAAGAAAATAATGGTTTATATACTTTTTTTCATGTATAGATTTTAACTATTATGAAATTAAACACATTTATGGTACCTTTATAAGGTGATAGAATCATGTTTTAAAATCAGCTCATAAAATGTATATTGAGAGAAAATATGAAGATATGGAGAAGCTTTTCCATTTTTCAAGAAAGTCTATGATCCAAGATCTGTCATTAATTCTTCTACAACACTAATCTTGCAAAGGGGTTTTGCCATTCTTCAAGAAACCCTTAGTACATGATCCAAAATCTGTTATCCCTCTACATAACTAAGCTTTCAATGATTATATTATATTCGAATGTAGTATTACTATGTGCAGTGTTGTTGTCATTAATGTGGAATATTAAAAGTTTTTGTAATTTTTACTGAATGCTTCAAACTAGTATTGACACCTATCTTAGTTTGAGCTTTTATTAAAATTTGTATGTTCCTGAATAATTGTGCTGATAATGCACTTTTAATTAATTAATACGTTATGTAAAGAAATCTCAGTACTTATTTTACTATATTGAATAATTCAGTAGTTATTTCTTTAACTCTTTCGCATTGGTAAAGGCCAAAAACTGCTTCCCTCAAATAACTGAAATGCTTGTATATCTGTATTTTTGTTGGAATTGACTTCCTTCCCCCATGACAATTAGAATGTTAAACTGCTAACAATAACCTGCTTAAGTAAATCTTGATACACTTGTGCACTGTGTGCAGTTCCCCCTTTAGACAGGACTCCAACTTCGGGAATCAATAGCTAAACATTGACACTGCACAAAGGAGAAGGAAGGTGCATTCATATAACAGAACTACTTTTAGTTGCTTCAAAAGAATGATTGTCATGTCTGGAAAGCAGTGAGCCATGCGCTAACATGATGGGGAAAAGCACCATGTACAAAATGAGTCAGGCGTTCGAACAACCTGCCGATGCCTGAATGATCGAGCTACTTCTGTGTGGAAGGGTTAAATATATATGTATTTATGAATAATCATTATCATTCTGAGTTATTGAAAAATTTTATCTTGCCATAAATCATCTCTCTTTTATGAGTGTGTAGAATGTTAATTTTGAAAAAAAAAAAAAAAAAAAGCATCTGATTTTTAATTATTATTCATTAATAAAGCATATGTAATATTTACATTTTCATATGCTGCAATCATACATACTTTCTTAAATTTTGTAAAGTACTACTAAAATACGCTATTTAAAATTAATATTGCCCATATTTTTCATTCAGGTAGTACTTAATTTGATGAATTGATGCTATACTTCACTACCACTTGTTAAATATCCAGATTTAATATGTGCTAAGAAAACAAATCAGCCACATTGTATTTCAAATAATTGCTTGTGCGTGAGCTAAATTACTAAGAATTTATTTTATATTCATACATTTACTAAGATAATAAATAATTTTATATTACAAAATCAATCAATATTAAGAGATTTTATAATTTTCATTTTATCAAAATCGTTTTCCTTAGTATTGATCTAAATGGAGGAGGTAACTTGTGGCATATTTTATTAGTATGAATAATATTCAATAAATTCTAAAATCTAATGATTTTTTTTAATGCAACCAAGTTTTCTTTGAAAAAGTATATGTGTGTTGTGTGCATCTATCATTTTTCTACCCTGGCTCCATCAATATTAATGTATTTAGTCAACTTTGATAGTTGCAAAGAAGGCATTTTCACCTTTGTAGAAATAATATTCTAGGCTCCCATCATTGTGAATTTGATGTCTTCATAAGTACTTTCTCCTGCAGTGGATCTCTGTTTCATACTTATTGTTATAAAAGTGATTTATTATAACTTACAATTTCTCAAAAAACTCTTGCTTTTAATTGTTCTTCGTAAGTGTCCGAGATTTCTAGACCATCATAAATAACATCCGAGATATTGTCTTTTATATCGGATAATTTTTCCAAACCCGGTGCTAATTTTTAGTTTTGTAACAAGCTGAAAAATTGGTATACGCCTGTAACTGTGGTTTCAGTCTGCAAAACGTTAGTGACGATACTTGAGCAAGACTTGGCATCTCTTAATGAGGTAGCATATAGAGAGAGATAAACTACATATATGCATTTTTCATACAGTCTTGGCTATAATTACCAGATGTCTGCAATTATGTCATGGCCCGAAAAAAGTCTGGAATTTTTTAGGAATAGCTATGAGAAAGTTTTTAAATTGTTATTAATTTATACAACGAAAACAAGCCTGTGACAGAGTAATGTTTTTATTGCGATACAGATATTTTGGGATAAATCAAGTAATTTGGGAGATTATAGTGGGTTATTTCATAACATACCATATTATCTCCATCTTCATATCTTGCTATGTTAGACTTCTTACAGGTTTGTAATATATATTATTACAGACCAAATGCTGGAATTCAGAAGGTTTGGCAAACCATTTATTAGTATTTAATTGTAATATTTTTCTAGGTAATTGATCACTGTTTAGTAGATTCAGGTAGTTAATTTGTATTTGCATTATTTGAAAATCCTACTCTTTGTAGATCTGCTGCAAAATGTATTCAGTAATTTGCCGATTGTATTCTTTGCTTTAACATTTATTTCTCCATACCAACTTTAATTTCTTATGCATGGCTCTGTATTTTATAAATTGTCTTTCTTAGACATAAGAATTTATTTTTCATAAACTGTCCTGAATTTTCTTTCAGAAAATGTGGTAACCATTGTCATGGATGGCTCATGCTGTTCCTTCCTCAATCAAAATTCAAAAAGGCAATGTTTGACATGATCTCTGTCATCAAACATTGTCACCTTACCAATTTCAACATAAGCCACCATAAAAAGTACTTAGATGGTTGCATTAAATAGAGAAGGATGTGTAATATCTAGATATTGTTTCTAACCATATTGCCCTATATAGTAACCATACTTGAGAATTTATTAAATGTCCCTTATGTGGATTTTATACTAGTAGTTTTCAACAGATATATGACAACATGCAAGTTTGAGCACAAACAAAAATATGCATTTGCAGTTTGGACCGTTTTATTTATGAAATAGGGTTGATGGGGACAATTTGCAAGATTAGAGTGTATAATCTACTGAACTATCATACTGGGCTTCACTACCATGTTTTCCTAGATTAATAACCCCATTGGGCAAGTCGAAATCCTTCAGCAGGATGCCTCGTGAGGTTGCTTTAGCGGCAGTAATAACAATTCAAAAATCTCTAAATCTTTCTTGTATGAATGTAACTGTAAATTTAGCCGTGATCAAGAAGAATACTGTATTAAGTAATGTACAGAAATCTCATCGATAATATTTAATCTCAACATTAAATGTATGATTGTCAGTTTACTTACTGTGTATCGTTATAAATATAATGGATGTCTCTTTTTCATTCAATCTTACACATAACGCACAAGATGAGACAGTATGATATTCAAGTTAGTTTTGACTGGTATCAAGTTTATGATATTTTGTAGTAGTACAAACTGATGCTCATCTGAATATTTTTCATTTTAAACATAAATCGTTTGTGATTGTGGTACACATGCTTTGTTATTTTGCTCTTTTTTTTATGTTGTTGTACAGTCATCAGAACAAAAGTGTTGTCATTATATAGCTTAATCATGTAATTATCTGTAGTAATAAAATCAGTTGTAACAAAAAAGTACTATTTCTGTTTTTGATTATCTATATACAGTGTACATTAAAACATGCTTTTCCATATAGCTTTTTATAGATATGTTAAAAATACCCTTATTCACAGATCGGCATTGATTTTAATCATGAGATTGTATGTATTTCAAAAGACAATCTAAGGTAATACTATTTAATTAAAATCATCACCAAACTAAGACTGAAATATTTACTTATGAAGTTACATATTTTATTGATAAAATTAAGCTACTAGAGAAAAGGAAGTTTTCCCCCATGTTTCAGTTTCAACGTAGTGTGTTCAGTTTTCAACGTAGGAGCCCACTCCCTAAATGTTTTAATAACTTTTGTCTGCATAATAATAAATGCAAACTAGTTCCCCTTAGAAAGTATCTCACAAAGGCATCTCTTGTAGATGAATGTAAAGTGCTTTACCATGATTAATGAGTAATTAAACTGATTCCAAATGGCTTTGTTTTTAGGCAAAATAGAAACTTTTGTTGCCTGGTGCACAATGAAGTGAAATAAATGCATAACTGCAGCTTGAACAATTACATTATTCTTTTTTAATTAATTTAGTGCACAAGTCTGCATGTATGCACTATAAAGAAGTACAATTAATATTTTTTACAATTTGGCTGCATGTATGTACTATAAAGAAGTACAATTAATATTTTTTACAATTTGGCTATGTCATTTTTAACAGCTCATTTTAAATACTATTAGATTTTTATTATGATCAACTGTTTAGCTTAATTGTTTCAGTTGTACAACTGAAATTTTGCATACCATGATCAGATCACAATTTTATTTTAATCTACTGATTTGCACTTTTTAAACTGTTTTTTACTTCCTTGTACGAAGTAAAAAGGAAGTATTGTAATTGCGAAAAGTTTCAGGCAGCATATTTCAACGGAAATATCCATTTTGACCACTATCGAACGCAATTTAACGATGTTTTTGCGTGATATCTGTACATAAGGACAGAATAAAAGACTTGTTTCCTCAAAAAAAAAATTATAAAACTGCTTTAAAATTAATTCTGAAGAGAATTTTTTGTGGCGTCTATACGAACGTATGTACGTACATATCTCGCATAACTCAAAAACGAGTAGTCTCAGAACATTTAAATTTTGTATATAGGACTGCTATAACATGTAGATGTGCACCTCGTATTTTGGTTGCAATCGGCCGCACCAAACATATATAAATACTATATTTATATATATATCTACTTTGTTACTCGGCACAGTAATCTCAGTTTCTTTACTCTTATATGTTTGTAAAATGTACATTTTTTGCTTTAAAAATGATTGAATTATGTTGTTCTTATCTTCCGGTTAAGGTTTTTATGCCTTTCGTAATTCTGGAAGCAATATTTGTACAATTATCAACAATTTAAAAGCTGTTTAAGTGTGGTTAAGTTTTAAATAACATGGCGGACATATTTGTTCACATTTGAAACAGCAGAATTGTAGATTTGTTGCCAATCTAGAGAGACTAAGCTTCACAACAACAAAAATAACGCCCTTCATTTATTATTGCGAATTAAATCATGCTTAATCCTCCTTTCTGGAATTTTTTTGAGGAAATAAGTGTTTAAGATTTACTTAATTTTTAATAATTAGTAATTTTTAATACAGATATTTTGAGTTTTTATGTATTTTTGTCTTGTCACGAAGTGAAAACTGAATTAATTGAATGAGAAATACTCAATCATCTGTGAAAAACTGTTTCTTTTTTGTTTTGTTTGCTTAATTTCTTTTTTACATCGTTCTAGCTTTATTATAGTATTTGAAAAAGAAATGTGGCAATGATTAGATAATTCTTTAAATGATATACTTTTTGTGCATTCTGAGTTATAATATGAATGAAATATAATACTGTTAAGTGAACCTAGTACCAGAGTGTCACTATGTTAAACAAATAGAGTGAATTTTAAAGAATGCCTTTATTCTATTGCGGTTTATGCGTTGTCGGTGAAGTAGATTTAATTAAATCCAATAAGTTTAAAAGAAATGCAAGAAACAAATGCGTATAATTTGATATTCCATACAAGGAAGTCGTGTGGTGTTCACATCAGATTTTTTCTTTAAAGAAAAACAGAAAATTGCATTTTCTTTTTCTGTTTAGAAATTTATGCTAAGTTCAAGATGTTAAATTTTAATATGAATCTTCCAGATTACACTTTTAAAATTTTCTTAAATCCTAAACAAAGCAAGACTAATTATTTTAATGAATTATATACACTTTTAAAGATACTTATTTTAATGTATAGGCTTCTTCCTTTAAGTTAAATATTTGTTCTTGAAGTTGAAAAGGCAAAAATGACCATTTTGACATTATGTAATTTGAAGGACAGTGTAAAGTAATTGTCTTTATTTAGAAAGTATACTGATTATTAAAATTTATTGATTTCAAAACTATCAGTCAGCTTTATTGTGGAATGTTAACTGATTGTTATTAATTTAACAAATTGTCTTGTCCATTTGGGGGGGGAAACATTTTGTTTTTGTGTTTATGTCAAGAACAATCAAAGTTATGAAATAGGAGTATTCTGCCTCGAGTTATATTCCTAGTAATTGAATGTATTGTCTGGATAAGATTTCGCTCTTTTTTCAGAAAAGTTATTGGACAATTTTTTTATTTCTGAGTTTGCAGTATTAAAAAGGAAAAAATTTGTTTGCTGATTATGAACATTAAGTTCTGCGTTAAGCTCGGGAAAACCCATAGTGAAATGTGAAACATGATTAAGCAAGCATATGCAAGTGAAGCATTTTCAAGAAATTGTGTCTTCGAGTGGCACGAAAGGTTTCGTGAAGCTAGAGATTCAGTGCAAGACGATCCCAGAGCTAGTCACCCATCTATAGCATATACCAATGCAAACGTGGAGTGTGTAAGACAGTTATTGCTAGAAGACCGCTGTGTAACGTATATCAGAAGAACTGAATTTGAATTGTGATGTGTGTCATAAGATTTTATGCAACGATTTAAGGAAACTGAAGCTTAACACAAAAATCATCCATGGCTCACTAACAGATGAACAGAAAGAAGAATTTCTGCTAAGCTGTTGTATAGACGTGATCCCATATTTGTGTCAAAGATTATTGTAATTTTTTTCTTGTTTGAGTGAAAAGGTGACTGAAAGAAGAGCTTAATCAACATTATTGCAAACATCCAGTGGGCTGTGAGAAATGATCTTGCAAGCATCGCAATTAAAGATTTCCCCGCTTGGCTTCCAAGACCTCCAGAAATGTTGGCAGTTGTGTGTAGACAGCCAAGGGGACTACTTTGATAGCAGCTAGGATCATTACTTAATAAATGCAATTTTCTGCTTTTTATGACCTTTTTCCTGAAATTTTTCTGACAAAGGATGTATAACCAGGGGCAGATTTATGAAATGGGAAGCACCTAATGTGAAAACACAGGGTACATTATTATATTGTTTTATTTAATCAGCCTAAATATAAGTGCTCTTTGAAATATTGGACCACTTGCATTTATTACTTGAATAACTCCACGAATCCACCTCAATGTGCAATATAAATAGGAGCCAATTTTCTTCAGGATATTCTTTAAGGTATCCCTAATGAGCTTTGCTATATTCAAATAATAATTGGAATGTCAAGAGCAATTAAAAAAGAAATAGAAAAACAAATATGCTGTAAGTAATGAATTATTTTCAGATCTGAGATAACAATTATAGACATTTGCTGACTCATTGCATAATTCTTGCAAAATCTATAAGACTGTTGATTGTTTTGAAGAGGAAAAGTGAAATTGAAACACTGTGATCATTTCTGGTTTTACTTACACCTATAATTGACTAAAACATGAAAGCTTCTAAATTAAAAAAATTAATTCATTATCTATATTAGTTTGTTCCATATCAAAAATGTTTGTTAAAATACTGCAAAATTTTCCTAAATATAAGGATCAGAAGTCTGTATAGAAAAGTTAGACTTTGTAATTTTGCCCAAATTGATTTCTTTAAATTTAAAAATGCCAAAATTTTGTGAATCTTTGCATTATTTAAAATACTTTTGTCGCTGAAAGGAAATATCTATAATCAACAGTTCTGAAAATAAGGTCCAGTAAGGATTTTTGTAGATGGTGTGTGCATATATACATATAAATGTCTATAATGATAAATTTTAAAATGATTTGAGCAAGAAAAACTTAAGAGTATATATTTAATTTCTATATTATCCTACTGTAATGTGGCCCATAGGGAAAAAAAACTGGATGGCATTCATTCAACTGTTGCAATTACTTATCCTTTCCAGAGGGATGAAATAGAAAGCCATATTTTCCCATTTTCTTTACCTCTGGAAGGGGAGAATGAATAGCTTTTACCTAAGGATTTTTAAAGGTTTGAAGGACCAGTTTTGAAATGCATGTTCGAGGAACAACAATTTTTAGAAGTTCCAGCAAACATTAAGCAGAGCTCCAATTCCTTTCCAAAGAGTAAGTTGAAAATTGCGGTAATAAATCAGTTTCTAAAATACATTTTAAAATTGCTATATGTAATACCATATATGCTCATGTAATGTCCGCACATTTTTTACTAAAATTACATGACTAAAATGCAGTGTGGACATTACATTGGTCGTTCAAATGTCGTGCTTTATCTCATGAGTAACTTTGGGTGTAAATTTCATTTCAAACAGCCGAATTAAGTTCTAAGTGGAAGAAAATGGCATAAGTAATAAAAGTATCAAGTTTACTAATTCAGAAGTCAAACAACAAAAATCAGCAGCCGCTGTATAGGCTGCTGATTTTTGTTGTTTGACTTCTGAATTAGCATTTGTTCGGCGTGATATTGTGTCTTAAGTTTAAAGTTGTTTAATAGCTACCTAAAATTTGCAGACACATTCTCCCATCCACGTATATAATACAAATTACCCCATTTACGTTATCAACACTTGGCGTGTATTAGTTCACACAATATAGAGGCACAAATTAACCAGCACTTCCAATTTTAATATTTACTTTTACACAAATTAAATTAACGTTGGTTCTTTTAATATCTTGCACGTATTATTTAAACAAATCTGTTCTGATGCAATGTATGAAAATCCATTTCGTTTCATCATTCGCCACAACTAGCCTTTGCTCGCCTTGAATTGCAATGTAGGAATGTTTTCTCATGCCGCAGCACGCGCTCTTATTTGACACATTTCCTGTGTTACTGCGTACCCTCTAGGATGCATATCACGAACATACGCAACTACTTTTTTTCTAAGTTTCGAAACATGCATCTTGAACCATGAAACACACGTCTTGTTTTGTTCGTTGCCGCCAGTTGATTACGCTGTTTGCTCCCATTGCGTGCACATTTTTCATTCATCTTATACTCTTGCTGCTGCTCTTTTTCCATTTTCCTGCACAAATTCTATGACTTTCAGTTTAAAAGCCGCTGTATAGGCTGCTGTATTTTCCCATTTCAAGCACGCTACTTGCTAACTACCACAAATTCCAAATGATACTATGAATGAAAAGAGAAAGCTTAAAATATGTGAATGCTCCAAAGAGGTAGAAGGAGAAAGTAATTTCATTACAAAACAGTATTTCTTGGAAGCCAGTGTGGTCTAAACCTGTTTGGACTGCCTTCATTTATTATCGCCACGCTGGATTGCAGGCGCCGATGTTATGACTGAATAACAACTGCACCAGATGCAAGGAAAGTCTCTGCTTTCCATCTTGGCGCCAACCAAAGACAAAACAAATGCATATTCTTTCTTTAAAGATGTTTATTAACTAATGTTATTGACTAAAGGGGAAAAGGGCAATAATAAAAAATATATCTATTTTAAAGTAAGAAATTCTGTAATTTTTGGGGTGTGGACATTGTGCAGGGTCACTTTTTTTTTACATAAATTTTATCTGTGAAGTTGGGGTGCGGACATTACATGAGCGTATACGGTAATATGCAATGCAATAATTGTCAAAGAATGAAATCATTTAATTTGTAACATTAAACAAATAGGTAAAACAAAAAATTATTATACCAAACTGAACTCAGTTACAAGTTATTAGAACATTATGCAAAAATATTTTAAAATTAATTAATGGCTTTTTAGAGGTCAATGATTTAATTACTGACCTGCTTAAACTTGCACTGTCACTTTTACTAAACCTTTCATTCATATGTGATTTAAGTTATTAGGTAATGTGTCTTTTCATCTGTTCCATAACTATGTACAATGCAGTTCAGCTTTCATAAAGTTGAGTTTCTTACTCAAATCTTTTGTATCCTTGATATCTTTCTTCTCATAATTTAAAATAGCATACTGTTCTAAACAGGGAGAGAATAGAAATTGTTATATAAAAATTATATTTGTGATCTTAGCATGACTTCAATTTGAGAAGAGAATTCGAGTTTTAATTTCTAAATTTTGTTTATTTCAACAAAACATTTTTAGAGTTGTATATATTCATCCCATCTAAATACAACTATATTCATAAATCCTTAAATGTGTGAAACAGAAATAAAATTGTTCATACTCATAATTATCAAAAACTATGTAATATAATAAAAGGATTCAAATTTTAACAAGAAACATAGGAATTTTTTAATATGCTACACAACAGCATTCAACAGCTTTTTTTTTTTTTTATTAATTCCATGTCTTCCTAGTTATGAATAGCCTTACAAATAATTGTCTGGATCAGGAAGACAATCATGCTCCCACAAGTAGTGAGAGTATGATTTAGTTTAGATGTATGTCAATTTTGATAAAAATACCAAGGTGGATTAAATCTAAAAGTTCACATACTTTCTTCCCCTGCTACCACTTTTCAGTAGAAGAGAAAAGGATTTTTGATTTGATAAATTTTATGTGCTCCTATTCTACAAACTTCATAATCATAAAAAAGATCCATGTTTTATTTGCAATTTTAATCTTGGCCAACTTCCATTAATCACCATGTTAACTAGGACAACTAGGCAGATGTTGTAAAAATGTATCACAAGACCAAATATGTGTTATTTATCATGACAATTTATATAATTTTGTTTAAAAGTGACAGAATTACCCTCTTGATAGTTGATGATAAAACCCATAATTCCAGTTACAAAAATGAATGAAATAAGGTACCTTTCATATTATGACTAAGTTGGTCACATCACACCTTTAAGTAAAATTATTAGAAATTAAAACTTTTATACAGGTTCTTTTATGAAAAAAAAAGTTCCAACTAGGAAATTGCTCTTTAATTTAATAAAAAGCCTTAGGGAAGAGAGAGGAGGAATTCATAGCACATTAAACTGCCCTTAAAAATATTGTCAGAATTAATTTAATATGACTTTAATCACTTTCAACCAAACAAAATGTGCCAATTTAAGTGCTGTATAAAATTGAATTTCATTAACTAAAAAATTTAGTATTTTAGCATTTCTCCAAGCAGTAAAACGAAACCACTGGTTCTTCATTAATACCTATCTAATGTAAAATGTATTTTTTTATAAATTTGTATGCTAAAATCTTAACATGCATACTGTCTTCCAAATTTTAAATAATTAATTATTTAAAATTTGGTATTATTTTGGTCGTATAAAGCCAAAATAAGGTATAGAAAATATTTTACTTATTCACATTTTTTTTTCCTACAGGTCTGTTGTTAATTTCATATATTTTAACAAAATGGATCACATGATCACATTTCTTACAGACATCATTTTAATGATTACTGAAGTCAGAACATCTATGCAATCAACTCTTCCAGAAATACTAGTCCCATCTTTCTGAAACAACTGTATAATGAATTCGCCTAAACAAGAGAATTATTGAATTCAATAATATTTATCATATCACTCAAGCAGAAATTAAAGATTTAATACATTCTTATCTTATAATACAGATAATTACAAAATGTTCGTATTCTTACAGTAATAACATAAATGTTGACAAAATACTAATTGATTACATATGCTATCATTTGTATAGTTTCATATTAGCAATTACATTCAATAAATATAAATATTAATTTTTTCATAGTTTATATTTATTATTTAACACAAGAAGGATTAACACTTTATGAATTAAGCTTTTTATACTTTGCTCAGAAGTATTCGTTGGATTGTAATTTCCCCATCATTACAAAATACACAGTAAAATACAAATCATCGCTTTGCTGATAGTTGTGATTTCATACTAGTAATTTTATCTGATATAGTTCTGTCCATAACTCCACATAAACTCTGAATGTGATTCAATGCAGCAATATCTTTCTTTTCAAATGCAATTTTTGCTGCATCTTCAAGTAACCTGGAAAGAAAAAATAACAACATAAACATTCTCAGTATATGCAAGTGACTTTCAAATCTTCGATATTTGAAAATCATTCACTTACCTAGCTTTAACATAATACATCACTTTATTTTCCTCTTTTACTTTTGGCAAATATTTCTTCGCTTCATATATATTGTCATGCTTAACACACACATCCACAAAAGGCTAAATGATTAAAAATTAATAAATAATGAAATAAGCATTTTTCAAGTATTTTGCAGTTTTAAAATTAAAAAGTAAATAATGGTTATAATATAGTTATAAAATGAATAGAGAAGACTAGAGAGTTCTGCAGACGAGGGAAAAATTTAATTAAAAAAAGGGCTCATATTCTTTATTATTTATTATATTTGAAATATAAAATACATTTACACGATTTTTTCATTAGAGATTTTGTAAATACAGTTAATCTCAATTTTAGGACAGTAAAAGCCCATCAGCATTTAACTGACAATAAAGCTAAAGTAGCTGAAATATTTTAGAATTTTAGACATGCCCTCCCCCCAAAAGGAAAAAAAATGAGAGACTTGTAAAATCATTATAAAGAATGTTTAGGACAAACAGTATGATTTAGTGCCAGCAATGGATAAATGGTTATCATCATTTATCCAGTGCTGGGCACTAAATCATCCTGTCTCAACACAATCATAAGATTTTCACCTTAGTTTCATGCAAACCTGATTAGTTTTTGCTAAGATTGTTTAAAAAAAAGGGGGCATGAATCAACTGCTGTTTATCTATCTTTCCTCATATTTTGAAAAAATGATTAAAATTTGGAACCTGCCTCCCATGAAACAGCATGCAATGAAATATTTTCATATTTGTTGGATCCGGGCTTCAAGAAATGTGTGCTTTAATGTGCACAATATCCCACTTTATTTGAAAACAGATACATAATTGCAATTCTGCAAAAAATTTATAATAATCAATTCAAGTTTTTTATATGCTTAAGATGTTTCATTTTCATATATTTAGGGCCTGTTGACTTTTAATATCTTAAATGCTTTTTTTTTTGTCCCTTGGAAATCTTACATAATTTTAAATGTAGGATTTTGATATTCGGTAGACTTTGCAGGTTTTTGATATTCATACATAAGATGACTGTTTTTACAATTTTAGAATGGAAATTCCTTCCATTCATTTACTTTTCTACCATGAATTGCAATTTTTATACATTCATTATCAGGAATTTTCATGTATCCAGCATATGGCTTTCCCCAGGCTTTCCAGATAGCTGAGCTTTTATTTTACATATCAACAGATCTTTATTCAACTTATTCTTTACCCATATCTCTCACTGTATTACGTTGAACTGAAAATTTGTTCACAACATTTGAAATGAAAAATTTCAATCAGTCTATTCTTGCAATGTCGCCCCTCCTCCATTATCTTTCTGACTTCATAAGACCCCTGACAAAGAAATCAGATCTGATGAATGAGGAGTCTGCTTTCTTCAAGCCCAACAGCTGGGAAATGTACTATCAAAATAAATAATTACATTCCTTACTATCAAAATGCATTGTTGCTCTATTTTTCTGAAGTATAACTATTAGAAATGCCAACTAATCTTAATTGTAAGAAACAAAATCTGCCAGTAAGAAAATATGGAGTATACCAAGAAAACTATTACCTGCCCTTACCACCTTGGACAGAATAAATAGCCCATCATGTTTTTTTCGGTAAAAGGAGGGGACAGAGTCAGTCCAAATCAAAAAATTTTAGGTCAGTTTAAAATGAATGTTCATCAACCCATATCCTGCTGCTCTGGTGATTAACCATTCCACAAGTATGAAAAGTAGGTTCATCAGTAGACAAAGGGAGTTTTGTGAGATCTACAATTTGAGCAGCCTCAGATGAATCAATAAATGAAATGCAAAATCTTCTTTTGAAGTGTATCAAATACCTAAATATGATAAGTCTTTATAAAATACTGTAGATTTCTCTAAATAAATGTTTGAAAAATGCAAAGTTCTCTGCTCATTTTGCAAACAGAAGATTTAAGGCTACAATACTTGCTTCTTCAACTCTTTGAACAATCTGTGCTGATGATGATGGCCTTCTTGAATGATATCCATCCAACACACATTCAGTTCTTAGATATCTGCTTCCCAACAATCTGATACTGGCCGTTATTCAACATGGTTTATGGAACTGATGCTGAAATTCATTGTGAATCTTGAATCAATGTGAACTGAATGTAGCTTAAACCACCTCAGTCCTGCACTAACAGCAACAAATTATTCTTCATTTGTTAGCATGATTCACTTTACTTTCAAGAAAACATACTCATAAATGTTTCTTAATAAAATGGATTGAGATTTACTTATATTTGCACTAAACTATAAATACTTTATATTTGCAATAAAATATGAAATACTTTAATGAGTACATGCTTATTTTTTTAACCATCTATTTATTTGAAGCTGAATAATTTTAACATTACTGAACAAGAAAAATGCATTTACCTCATAACCTATGGGTGATTTTTTTGAGCGTGAAAATTTCTCTAATTCTAACCAGTCTCCACCATCAGCTAAAACTGTTATTTGTAACCACCAGTACCTGCAGACAGAAGGAAATTTATAACTTTAAAATGGACAGAAGGAAATTTATAAACTTATAAATTCCTGACACTACTTTTTTTAATGCCTGCTACACTTTTTTGAGCATATGGCGCCTGACACTAAAGATGCATATACAATAAGGCATTTTTTTCTGCAAGCTTTTATTATAATTATTACTATTATTATTGCTTAGTTACTTATTTGTCATATGAAAATTTTGAAGAAAATTCACTACAAAAATGATATGATGATCAAATTTTAGATAAGACAAAATGATTCATCTTGATTTGATCATTTTTAACACTTTATAGTGCCAAATGAAAAGATTGCATTTTGAATATGTTAATTTTCATATATCTACACATCAAACAATTCCTCAAGTATTACTGATGTAGTCATTGCTATATAATTCAAGAAATTTCATAATAAAATCAAATCTATTTGTTTGCATTATATTCAAGAGAGAAAAGAAATGTAATCAGAATCTCTATATGACAGCACATATGTATGTATGCACGTGTAGAAATTTAAAAATAATTAAAAGTAATATGAAGAAAGTATCCAATTAAATAATACAAATACAGTAGTAACAAATAATTAGAGCAGAATATGTTTTCCCAACTGATATTGAAAAATAAAATATGTAAGATTTCATATGTAAAACTGTCAATCCATTTTGGAAATGAGTAAATATTAGAATCGTAGATAACTTTTTCTTTCTTTTTTTTTTTTTTTCTATTGCTAACATATGAAAGACTGGCCAAAAGCAAAAAAATATCTGAAGAAGAAATAAAACATGTAAATAGAAATATCTTGTGAGTAAGTACATTAATTTAAAGTAAAATACTGATAATGAATCACAAGCATGAGCAATGATCAAATGTAGATAATAAAAAACTGAAAGTGATACATTGTATCTCTAATGCACACTGTGGGGGGGGGAAGGAAACATCTATATCTCCTGTTCTACTAGACCAATTGATGAAATTCAACTTGTGTTTTTCGTCTTGGATATGTATTATATTTATACATAGCATTGTTCTATAGGTATTTTGACAGAAAATCTGACTTTATCTGAAATGACATGCTAATTTTTTTTTCATATTTCGATTCAATGAAATTCGAATATTCTTTCGAAATAATGCTGATTGCTAAGTTTTGTACAAATCGCACAAGTGGGTTTCAAAAAATTAGCTCTCAAAATTTTAGCTTTTCATTGTTAATTGAATTTCATATATATATTTATTAATATCTCTTTTTTATTAAACTTATTTGATTTTTCCTTTTGTATTTGAAACTTGGGTTCATTTCAATAAAGTTTGCTAATTTTTTATGACTTATTTTTAAAATTTGTATTTTTAAATAATTTTTATAAATTTTTTGAAAAAAAAATTTGAATTATAACCTATAAAATTTTTGCCATCATCTTAAAGATGATGCATTTCTAAGCATACCTGTTTTTATTCAAAATTTTCTAAGATACATGTGAATTTACATTTTGGCATGTTTAGAAATTTGCATAATTATTATAATTGATAAGGGAAAATACTGTTTATGCACTTTGTTAAAATTATTTGAAAGTATGAATGATGACTTTTTTCCCCGCTCTTGAACAAAGAAAAAAGGCAAACGAAAATACATTGCTATTCTTGGCGCAAACTGGAAAAAAAATTGCCAAGATAAATTATTGAATTTCTCAATAAATTTCACACCAAAAATTATAAAATTTATTATCCAGGCATAATTTGAATCGTAGAATCGAAATATGGAAAAATATTGATACATTATTTCAGAAAAAGTCCAATTTTGTGTCAAAATACTTATGTTAGAAAAATGCTATACATAAATCTAATATATATCATAGGTCGCACTTTCGATACATGGAAAACGCAATTTGAATTTCGTCAATCAGCCCAGTAGAACTTTACTAACAGTAGAACTACTTAACTTTAATAAAGTAAAAATTTCAAAGGTTAATAAAAATTATTACTTTAATAATCAAAATACACTCAGAAAATCTCTTGATTATACTGCATAATTAATCATTATTTTACAAAATTATTACAGATAACAACAGATACAATATGCAAAATAATAAAATAACTAAATTAAAAGTCAGTTCTAAATGTCAAAACTAAATCTACCGTTTATCGGGAACTTTAAATTCTTTTCGTAAATCATCAGCAAGTTTGAATTCCCTTTGAGTTAAAAGCTGTTTCATTGTCTGATGCAATGAAAGGTCACAAAAATTCTGAGGAAATTTCTCTTCAAACATACTTTGATATTTCATTAATTTTAATTGATCTTCTGTTATCTAAAACGAAAAGGCAGACAGATCATTTAAAAGTACATGTAATTCTTATAAAAAAGTCTTGGCAATTTATATAGTATACTATTCATATATTCTGTTTAAAGCACACTACCATATTTTAGCCATTTTATAATTTAAAAATTTGCTAAATACTTTTACCTGAATTGCAAACTCATTTTTAGCTTTTTTGTACGAATTCAGGGCTTCTTGCAATGCACTTGATCTTTTTTCTACTTTCTATAAAAGAAAACAAAATTATTTTTAAATTACACTTATAATGATTTCATTATAATTAGAAAAGATTTACAAAATATTTCTTAAAATCCTAAAAGTTAACTGAAATTCTTAAACTTTAAATGTTTCTAAAACTACTTATAATAATAAAAAAAAATAAAAAAAAATGAAGAATTTAACATAATAATTGGCAAAAATTGTATCACTGACTGTAATTTCATTGGAACTTAGTCTAGCATTATTAAAGCATTACTGTTACAGTTGTTAATGCACAGAAATGTAGTGCTTGATGTGAAAATTATAACTGAAAGAGAAATGGGGCTCAGAACAGCACTGCAACTTTCTTGTCATGCGCTACTATAACAACTACAGTTTGATAATGGTGGACTAAGGTCCAATGAAACTGCAGTCAGCAATAAAATTAGTCATGCTAATTTTTACATTGAATTTCACTTTTTTAAACTCTTAAAATTACATACAGTTATTTTCCTCAAGCTGTTTATTATGGTTCAATTTCATTAAAAAATCACACAAAAATGACAATTATTCTAAAGTAAAATATAGTTTAATTTACATTTACTTAAAAATTGCAATATAATTTTACATTCTAGCGTTTTTAAAAATATTTTTTTAGCTCATATGAATACCTTTCAAATCTTCAATCAATAACGCTTCCCCAAGAAGAATAAAAAATTTTCTTCTTGGGGAAAATTTTTCTTGGCTTTAAAATCATTATAATATTAATAATATCTTCCTTTATCAAACTAAATTACTTAGCACTTTAAATTCATAGACTTTTTGAAATGATAGCATTACCATCAATGTATAAATTTTCTAAAAAATTTGGGGAAAGGGGAAATAATATTATAACTAATCACATATTAATCTAGTATCATTCTAGCTAACTGCTTCTGCTACAAGGCATTTATATCAAAATAATTTCTAAATGTAAAATAATAATAACAGCAACTGCAAAAGATATACTAAGTTGTGTATTATATTTTTACTGTTGTCACTCATACTTACTTTAGTCTGATAACTCTCCATTACAAAACAATGACCTTCAGAATTGAAATCACTTTCTTGTGAATAACTTTCTCGTAGTTGTTCGAGATCTTGTTCCTTGCACAGCTTGTAATAAAAGAAAATTATTCCAATACTTATATATACATCCATACCCACATAATATTTTAGTTTTATAATGCAGTTTCTTTTTAAACAAAATTACATAATCCATTACCTTTAGGTACAAACTATGTGCAACAGGAAACTGGCGAATTTTCATGTGGAAGTCACCTTTCGATAAAGTAGTTTTCAAGTAGCGTATTACAGAGTAAACTAAATGATTATAAAAACAAATATTAATAATTTTGTATATTATTTCAATAGTGAGTACTAAAATATAGTTTCAATACACAAACTTTTCCAAAAAGTGTTATTGCTCACTTAAATCTGTGTCACCACTTTCAATTGCTTTGACCATAGCTTGCGTTTCTTGCCTCAATTTGATTAACAGTGGAACTTGTTCAGAAGCCCGTGTTTCATAATCAAGTAGCTAAATATTTAAAATTCAAAATAAAAATGCTTCATTATGTAAACATGTAATAAAATCAACACTTAAATATAAATAACGTAAATGATTAGATGTTCTAAAAATAATGCTGCTCAAATTATTTTATATACATTTGAAGAATTTTAAAAAAAAATTCAATTAAAAAAAAATAAACGTAACGAGAAAGTATTAGGGTGGATCAAATAAAAAATGGAACAATAGCCACAAAATGAAAAGGTATTACTTATTTTCAAATGTAATCATCAAAATTACACAAGTACTTATCCCACTGTTGCACCAAGTGAACCCTGTTCGTAGATGGAGTTTGGCTGAGATTGAAACCAGTTCCAAACTGTGTCCATGACTTTATTGTTGAAGTGAAACATGGTGAATTGTCAGGGCTGTATAGTGGGCGTTCTAACACACTCCACCAAAAAGCCAAAAACGTGCAAGCATGTTGAATGTACAAGTGGCCGTATGTGCCCATGCATTGTCATGGAGCAAAAGCACTCCAGAGGACAACATGCCTGGTCGCTCAGCTTTGATTGCTGCATGCAAAGGTTCCAGGGTATTGCAGTATTGATCAGTGTTGATTTTTTTACTTGGAGCCAGGAACTTAATGAGAAGCAGGCCTTTTATATATATATAAAAAAATCAGCATGATTTTGCTCTTATTCTGCATCATCCTGGACTTCTTTGGTGGTGGGATGCTGAAATGTTTCTACTGTTGGCTTTGTCATTTGCTTTCTAGTTGGTAATGATGGCAACAGGATTCATCACCTGCAACAACACTGTCTGAGAAATTGTCCTCAGCATGATATCAGAGAAGTTGGTGCAAGGACAATTCCATGCAGAGGTGGCTTCACAATTCCATGGAAAGCCACCTCTGATTGTCTGTGAGACTGTGTGGCACTCACTCTGAACTCAGTTTCCTGTACAGCAGTTTCTCCATATGATGGTATAAAACAGAACTGAAACTCACACCCACCTTCTCATTGATGCATTGTCTGTTTACACAAATGATCTGGTCAACTTCATTCACTGAAGTGTCCATGACGATAAGTTGACTTTGACCAGATCATGCATCATCTTTCAAAGATTCCTGTCCCTCATAGAAATGCTTGTGCCAGTCCTGCACATGAGTCTGTGACAGTGACTGTTCTTCATACACTGTTTTCATTCACCGATGCACTTCACGAACTCCAACATCTTCTGCTATTAAAGAACTAATAACATTACATTCCTTCTCTAGTCGCAAACATTATGCAGACACAGGTGAAATGACAAATGATTGCCTGCAGGATGACACTGTTGGCTGACTGCCAGCACATATCATGAGGTTCTGTGTGTCTGCCTAGGTCAAGTCCATTCCAAAATAGGGGCTGTCTTTCTTAGCTCCCAGACTTTCTTTACATTCAGTTTTCATGAGTCACACAAAAACATCAAATTATAACCAATATTCCACTTTCATTTGATCCACACTCGGACAGCAAAGTCATGGACACAGTTTGAAACTGGTGTCAATCTCAGCCAAACTCTTTCTATGAATGAGGCATTAACCACTTGGTGCAACATTGGGCCAAGTGCTTGTGTAATTTTGGTACTAACATTTGAAAATAAATAATACCTTTCATTTTGTGGCTACTGTTCCATTTTCGTTTGATCCACTCTTATAAATCAAAACAGAAAACCTTTTTATAAATTCCTGCAAACTTAAGTTATGTTATGTTAAAAGTTTCGAGACCATTGGTTAAATAGTTTAACTTCTAGGTACCATGTTATATCTGAAATTCCTATATTGTTAAATGTTAAATATGAAACTACTTGCCGTTAAAGGGAGTGATCGTATAGTGAAACGTGTACAGCATTTTTGCGTTGTGAAAAAAATGCATTCCGGGACCGCGCCGTGAGAGGATCGAAAACATAAAACATATACAAGATATAAAGGAAAAGTTCATATTAAATATATAAAGAAAACATACTGTAAGAGGTTCCAGATTAAATATCAGTTTATTCAATTACAACACAATAAGAAAAATCTTAACCTCATCTGAGAGTCTGTTCATTTAAATTCATAAAAAAACTTAAGGTTTGTCTGGTGATTTAAAAGAAAGGAAAGGGAAACAATTTATGGCCTGAGAGTTAAATTTTAGATTCGACGTTGTTTTTACTGCTAAGGACGTTTTTGGAAAAACTTGCCTAAAGTTCCAACACACCAAAAAAATAATACTTATCTTGAGTGGACATCTTGAAGTGGAGGAGAGCTCATATCTTAGCTCTATCCTTACGTCACTTGGCAAATCCGCAAGACAGAGACTCGAACGGCACGACAATAAATTACATCAGCTATACCGTCAAATCTTACGCCTGCTACTGTTTTCCATAGAAGAAAATTATTCCCACTGGAAGCAAGAGAACAGCTTACACCGCACGGCTGTCTGCCTAGACTCTCAGCTCCACCAAGGAAAACGTAGACAATTAAGCTAGGCATTTTAGAGAACGGCTAACGCAGGCTTCCAGTTTGACTAAGGTGACATAATTCCCAAGTTCTGTTTTCCAAGTCGGAGTTCAGAGGACATCGTCCTGACTTTTTGCCGATACAGATAGAGACCCAAGTCCTCTGTTAATTTTTTTGTTTATTCGCTCAACAGTTTTTTTTTTTTCACTCAGCAATTTTTTTCTTTCTTCCCTCGCATTTTTGAGAAAACCCGCGGCCGGGGAGCATAATTGCCGCTCCCCGCCGGAAGCACTGCTCGATGCCGACTAAATCTTTTTCTCCTTCGCAACACCCACAAGTTTTTTCTCAACAACAAGTCCGTCAAGCCCGAAAGTCAGCGAATCCAAGCAGTGAGTGCCTAAGCGAGTCAAGAGTAAGTGTGTCTCGCCTCTTAACCAAACGCGGCCGGGGAGCATATTTGCCGCTCCCCGCCGGAAAACATCCCGCTTCGTAATTACATTTTGTCCAGCAAGCCCGAAAATCAGCGAGTCAGTCAGAGAGTGCCTAAGCGAGTCCAGAGTAAGTGTGTCTCGCCTCTTAACCAAACGCGGCCGGGAGCATATTTGCCGCTCCCCGCCGGAAAACATCCCGCTTCGTAATTACATTTTGTCCAGCAAGCCCGAAAATCAGCGAGTCAGTCAGAGAGTGCCTAAGCGAGTCCAGAGTAAGTGTGTATCCAACTCGAATTTCCTTCGTCTCCTTCACAAAACGGGCTCCCACTATGGCTTCACTTATCGCCCCCTTAATTATGGCAAAATCTTCGTTTTCAACTCCAGAATGCGGAAATAAGGGTGATCGCGCATGCGCGCCCTTCTTCACTTAGCCAACAACCGGACCCTCAATCGCCAAAAACCTGAATGACTTACATTGAAAGACAAGTAGCAACCTTTGACCTTTCCGTCACGTACTTTCCTCTCTTAAGGTCAACTAACAATGAAAATTCTTTCTCGAACATTCTAAAGCGCGCGAAATCATGACTTGGCGAAAATTGCCTCCCTTTCCCTGCTTCTTTCACAATGAATAAAAGTTTGTACAAGATTTAGAAATAGAGGAAAATAAATAATACTCTTTTAAACTAAATAATATTTCCAGAAGCATCTGTTTTTCCCCAAAATTAAAGCCTTAAATTAAATAATTCAGAATCAAAATAAAATTTAAATTTCCATAAATCATAAAATCATTCACCTAATTTTTTTATAACGCTATCAGATAATTTCTCTACATAACAGTTATTGAAATACCAAAAGTAACCATAATGCCAACATTCATAATTATGGATGCAGTGCTATGCACTGTTAGCTTTGAATTTCCTGCACCAGTCTACTGAGCAGCATTAGTCTATGTGGTATGGTTTGTCTTGGTGCTAATTAGTGTACATTTCTATGCACAGCATTTTATGATTTTCTTAAAACCAACATTTTACTTCTGGTTACCTTACCTAGAGACTTCCAAGTAGTAAATATGATGAATTTTTAGATTTATGATCCTTTCCATTGCAATACTGAAAACAGTAAACTGTCACTGAATGAAAGAGAACAGTTAAATGGAATTTCAATGACACCAGACATAAAAAGAAATTTTAAGCAGAAGGTATGGTTAATTTTTGGACCTCACTACCACTTAAAATGGAACTGTACAATGGTGCTTTAAAAATTATAATTTAGTTTGCTTCTACATATCTGTATGAGAAAAGGTTTTCAACTCTAAGTCAAATAAAATCAAAGTACAAAAATCAATGTGATGTATGTGACAATTTCTGACTTCAGCTTACAAACACAGGTACAAAAAATGACAGCCTTATACATTTCATTAATATGAGAACAAATGTTTATTTAATTTTTAGTTAATAAGATAAAATTTCCCAAACTATAATAGCCTCGAAATATTAAAAATGAATATATCTTTTCTTTGATGAATTTAATAAAATATTAAGTTAAATAAATTTTAACTGTATTTTAAAAATACCAGAAGTAACATGCTAAAAAATTCCTCTTAAAGGGGACAAGAGTACAGTGGTCTACAGAGCATTTTTATTTATAAAAGTGATCTCCGTTTGAAAAAAGCTTGGCAAATTCTGATCCCACTCCAAAAATCATGGTATATGACAGAAAGACCTTCCATAACCCCAGTTTTCCACCATTGAACAGAAGAGAAAAACACTGAAAAGGTTGAAGCAACTATTAATGAATGTCATCAAAAGAATATTGAAAGAAATGCCGAATGTCATTAAGAGACTATTGAAAGAAATGCATTTCTCACAAAATACCTGTTACAGAATTTTATCAGAAGATTTAGGAATGAGACACTTGGCTGGAAATTTGTAGTTTGTTATGCTCACACAGCAGTACAAATGCAAATGCTAAACCAAGGAGGAATTCTTCCCTTTGGGAGAATTTCATAGTTTCAGGAGGAAAATGTTATCAAACATTTATTTAGCTGTTCGGTATTTTGCTTTAGTTTATGAATACAAAACAAACTACTTTTATTCACATTTCAGTATTTATCAACATTTTCTATACTTTTTGTTGTTTAATTAATAAAACATGTTAAAAAATAATCTAAATCTAAATAAATTTATACATGTTTTTCAGGTTTTGGAAAGGAGAAGGGGGAATGAACTTCTAGCAATGGTGAAAGGGGTACATGGGGCAAAAAAGAATGAGAACCCCTGGCCTAAACATTTATTATGACTTGAAGAAGGAAGAGTAGTGTTTGAGCTCTTAAAGCTCTGTTTGTCCAAAAATTTTGATCAAGAACGACATGGTGTTTGTGTTTCACTCAGAATACTAACTCACTTTTGCTCAGTAATTTTTTTTTTCTATTCTCACAGATGAAAGTTCTCAAAGGGGTACAATTCAGTGATGCGGATGAGGTGCCTTCCCCCCCCCCAAAAAAAATGTGCTACATGACTCAAAGAGAAGACTGGTCAAGAGCTCCAATACTATTTTCAGTAAAAAACAAATACGTTGGGATAAGATTTACTGATGTCAGTGGGAAATACTTTGAACGGAACCAATATAAGTAAGGTTAAAGCTTAAAACAAAAGGACATTTCAGGTTATTTTTAGGTACACCCTCCCAAAATCACATATAATATTTATCATGCATAAACCACATCATCAGTAAATACTTTTGTTCTCAGAGATTAAATTATATTAAAAGCTAATGTTTCAAGAAATACAAATTAAAATTTTTATTTGGAATTATGAATAATCACATTTAAAAATGGTTATTTTATAATAAGAAAAGAGGAGAAAAGTAAAAATTTAATAGTGGGAAGATTCTTTTCTTTTAATCTATTACACAAGACTGCTTTTAAAATCATAAATCTAATAGCAGTATTTTTCAGCCGAGTAAAATGCTAATTATTATAAAATATTTACTAAAAAAATAAACATTTAACATAAAGTAACATAATATATAAACTTACTTTTACAGCTAAGGAAGGATGACCGTAGTCCATAGCCTTATTAGAAATCTCAGCATAAGAAATTCCAGGTGTACATCCAAGTTTCTCAGCAACTGCTCGAGCAGTTTGTTCTGGATCTAAATTGGTACGTTTCACCTAAAAAATATAAAGAAACCATTAAAGATTACAGATAATATCTCAGTGATAAGTAACAGATTGTATAATGAGCCAGACATTTACATGCTTGCAAATTCTTTGAAATTCCACATCTACATCTTTCCTAATGCAACACTTAATCATCCTAATGCAACACCACTGAGAAGATAAGTGTGACTAAGTTAACCTGTCAATCACCCCCTTTTCATTTTTGACTCATTCTGGGGAGCTGGAAAAACATGCTGTGATGAAGGCTTGAGGACTACGGTCTAGCCCACATTTTACCCCGATGAGAGTCTGCCATTACTAACGGATGACGATGCATTTCCTGCGAACGCATCTCTCTAGGGGCGAACAGTGAACTGGTTAACTATGGTCATACATTTTGTCAAAAAATTTTCAAAAAATCTTTTTAATTTTTTGGCATTTTTCTGTTATTTAGACCGGATTCAGAAATGTAAATACATGCATTTATGTACTTAGGTATGTGTGTCTCTCTCACACACACATGCATATATATATGTCTTTCTGAATTCAGTCCCAATAACAGAAAAGTACCAATTTTTTTGTGAGTGAACTGGTGAAGTCAGACACAGAGCTAATGGAATTTTGCATTTTCCACCTCCTATAAAATGAGTGCAATTCCTTTTTTTTTTTTTTTAAATAACTCTGTGACATTTGTATTTATTTTAATATTCACTGATGTCGCATTAATAACTCTGTGACATTCGTATTTATTTTAATATTCACTGATCTCGCATTAGTCTAATATTTTATTTTTTTCAGAAGGAGGTTCCCATTTTATACATTTTTATTGATTTTGCTTTTATGTCTACACATTTTTATAATTGTCAGACTAGTTTTGGATGAGGGAAGATCACATCGTTAAATAATTTCTTTTAGCTTTATTAAGCAATTTAAGTTTATCAATAATAATATGTGTGTATAATGAATACAAAAATTCTTAATAAACATTTATACAATTTGCATAATTAATAAAAGTCGCTGCTAATATTTATATTATGGGCTGAGCTATAAGTTTACATTTAATCAACTGTTGAAAGAATTGAGTAACAATTTAAAAGTGTCAGATTTAATTTAAACATCAGGTTTTTCAATTATATTTATTTTATCACATAAAGAAAACATAATATAATTGAAAGTCACATTTTATTATCACATGGAAGTTCCAATAACAAAATTAAATACCTACCTTATAGCATGCCCAATGATCCAGTATTCGACTAGCCCCTTCTGTATCAGGTATCTTTAAGTACTGACATATACAAATGGCATAAGCATAATGGCGTCGGAGTACAAGTCGATCCAAAAGGACAGGAAGTGTTAAAAATTCCAATCTGTTTCAATTATCAAGAATTTTACAATACCCATTTGACACACACTACTTTCTTTTCATACCAGAATAACTAGGATTGAAAAACGTGTTTACAGCAGAAAATTATATCTTCTAATATACACATGCACAGGAAATAAATTTCACTTTGTAGTATTATATTTTTTTACTTTCTAAATTTGAAAATACTGAATTAAAAATAAATGAGCTACAGACAGCAAAATAAAGGAAAGGAAATAAATCATTCATAAAGGAAATCTAGAGTTGGTTATCCATTTTAAACGTCTTATAAATACATAATATGCATAAAAAGTGCAATTGACTTAGTTATCAGTTACAACACATTATAAAAATAACTCTAACTAAGCAATAATAATAATATAATATAAGATAACTAAGCAATTCTTTAATAATTTTTCATGTATAGAAAATGACAACAATGCTCCATGCAACAAAAGTGAAATACAGTCAAAAGTCGTTAATTTGGACACCCATAATCCGGAATGATCTATAATCCGGACCTCAAAGCTTCAAACTTTCTGCGCATGCGTCGCGTTGACACATGCGCGTAAGGCCTTTACGGCTGAGAATATACTTGTGCGCGTGCACAAAATACATTTACGAATGCGCGTTTAATGTATAACGAACGGTATAAGCTAAGCTAAAATTATTTAATTATCTATTTCAGTTAATGTTGCAGACTGCGTTGTTCCTTAATCTTCGAATTGGATTCGGCTTATTATTTTTGCAGACTGTTAGAGTAATTTTATAAAAGTAAGCTTGAACTTTCGATTATGTCAAACAGAATTTCTGATATACATTTATCAATATGTAAATGATGTACAAAGCGAAAGTATGTTTCGAAGTTCATTAAACAAAAAGTGGAATTGCTACAAAAAATGGTATCCAAATGTAGTATTTCATCTTGATGTACTCCATCTTTGATATGATTTAAATCAAATTCCTCGTCATTATAATTTGTTTCCGATAGCGAAGAAAGTGACAGAGGTTATTGAAAACGAAAAAATTTCAATTGACAAATTAGTCGGTATTCTCGACACAGCAATTATAGGACTTGAACAGCGGAACTTTGTAACTGAACAAGAATTATGTCTGTTTAAAGAATTAAAGAGAATGTATTATCACATAAAAAAGAAGCAACTTAAACAACTTACATTGAAAGAAATGTTTAATAAAGTAAACAAATAAATATTACGCTTTTTTTTGTAAATTTTGATATCCTTTAGATCATAATTGTTCTTTATTTCATAAATTATGGTTTCATATTTTTAATTTTATAATTTTTGCATGCCATCTTACCAGATTTAAACTGATGATCTATAATCCGGAAAAATCGATAATCCGGAATCGCCGAAGTCCCGACTAGTCCGGATTAACGACTTTTGACTGTATATTATAATTATGCTTTATTACTTAATTTCCCCTTCTTCCATGATCCTTCCCTCATCCCCCCCAAAAAAAGCCTTGAAAAAAACCAATTAATCGGACTGAAAACATCATCACAAACATGAAGGGCTGAGTAATAGTAACATGAACATGTATACAGAAAATTGTTTAGAGAAAAATTACATATTCAACAAAAATAATAATAATAATTACAAAATAGATAAATTTCATGCAATCCATAGAATTTCCTGTATTAAGTAAGGATACTGTGTATAGGTTATAGGTAAACCTATTACATTGACTCGTACAGCATTTAACACTCGAAGTGTCTGGCACATTTTTACAAATGGCTCTGGATCCATATCAGGAACAAAATTTTTCCCAAATGCAGCAGCCTTAAAGAAACAAATGTGAATTACAACATAAGAACACTGCATAAAAATCCTTACATGAATAATGAATTGACACTTGAAAAATTAAAAGGAAAAAATTAACTAATAAAAAAAAGAGAGAGAGAGCTAGTGGTCAGGAAGTTCAGATTTTGAAAACTGTACAGTATTACAATTGATTGGAAAATTTACATACATATGCACACCAAAACATAATTCTGTGACCAATATGTTAGTCATTAATAAGACTATTTCTCATTTAGTTTTATGATATTTTCCAGACACAAGTTATATGTAAGGATACTAAATGCTCAGAATTTATTTTCCCTTGTATAAGATGCTGCCATATATAAGATGCAGCTTGATTTTGGGACCCAAAACTGAACAAAATAAAGTATTATTTGGTTTATGGACTGTTTTTAATTAGCCTGTTGGAATAGAATTTAATATGAAAAAAACATGATGTGGATAACACGACTTCCTTGTATGGGCTATTATATTATACACAGTTTGGGTGCATTTCATTTAAACTTATGTCCACGAATTTCATTACAGACTAAATTTCTCATTCAATTAATTCAATTCTCACTTTGTGACAAGGCAAAAATGCTAACACAAAATATCGTCATTAAAAATTGTAAAATACAGAAAAACATAACACCAGATACAGTTAAACCAGTTAAATTTTTTTTATATAATTTAAATTACAAGTTCCTATGCAAAAAAAAAAAAAAAAAAAAAAAAAAAGCAATTTGGACAGCGGACGTGAAGGCAGATTTTTCGGTCCACAATTGAAAGTTTATTTTTGGTCTCACTGGCAAAAAGACAATAACAGTGCAGAAAATGACTTAATTCACTATTCTACTAAGAGTTTTCAAATGTCATCAAATGGTGATTTCATTAGGGTTAGTGCAATTTAAATAACTTTTAAATTGTTGATAATTCTACAACTAATGTATGCATACTAACTAAAGGCATAGCAGCCTTATAACAAAACATAAGAATAACATAATTACATCACTTTTAAAGCAAAAAATGCACAATTTACCAACATACGAGGATAAAAAAACTGTCATCGAGGTGGGTAACAGAGTGGATATACAGTCAAAAGTCGTTAATCTGGACACCCATAATCCGGAATGATCTATAATCCAAACATCAAAGATACAAACTTTCTGCGCATGCGTGAACGCATTATGCGTTCACGCATGCGCATAATACTTTTATGCATGTGCGTTTAATGTATAACGGACAGTATAAGCTAAGCTAAAATTATCTAATTATCAATTTCAGTTAATGTTGCAGATTGCGTTGTTCGTTAATCTTCGAAATTGGATTCCTGTCTTATTATTTTTTGCAGACTGTTAGAGCAATTTTATAAAAGTAAGCTTAGAACTTTCAATTATGTCAAATAGAATTTCCGATGCTGCAGATGCCGAAAGGATCTACAAAGCGAAAGCATGTTTCGATGTCCATCAAACAAAAAGTAGGAAATGCTGCAAAAAATTGATAAAGCATAAAAAGGCAGAGAGGTGATTTGTTTCTCTAACCATTCCGTAATCTGTTTATCAATTTCACGCTGCTCTGCGGGGAAGTGGGGGAAACGTCGCAGCGCGCAATGAACTGGAAGTTGATCTGTGAGCACTATCCTTATCTTCAGGGCAGTAGTTTTTATTTTATTCAGCTTATAATTCCTTACTAAATGTAGTATTTCATCTCGATGTATTCCGTCTTTGATATGATTTAAATCAAATTCCTCGTCATTATAAATATCACGAGTACACATCAAATAGTTTTCTGGTTGCAATTTTGTAATTTCGATGATGCGTAATGTATGCTTTACGCATGCGCGCATTGAGAGAAATGTTTAATAAAGTAAACAAATAAATATTAAGCTTTTGTTTTTGTAAATTTTGATACCCTTTAGATCATAATTGCTCTTTATTTCATAAATTACGGTTTCATATTTTTAATTTTATAATTTCTGCATGCCATCTTACCAGATTTAAACTGATGATCTATAATCCAGAAAAATCGGTAATCCGGAATCGCCGAAGTCCCAACGAGTCCGGATTAAAGACTTTTGACTGTATATATATATATATATGGTTCTGCCAGTTGCAACCAAAAAGAGAGGTGCACAACTACATGTTATTACAGTCCCATATACGAAATTTCAATGTTCTGAAGCTACTTGTTTTTGAGTTTTCTGAGATACATACATATAGACGTATACGTACATATGTATAGACACCATGGGGGAAAAAAACTCTTCTGAATCCATTTTAAATTCATTTTTCAATCCCTGTTGAGAAAAAAAAATGTCCTTTGTTCTGACCGTACGTGCAGATGTCACGTGAAAACATCCTTTAAATGGATTCTAGATCGGTCAAAGTGGATATTTTTGTTGAAAAATGATACCTGAAATTTTTTTTGATTACAATACTTTCTTTGTTTCGTATAAGGAAATACAAAAATATTACCTAAAGTTATTGAAATCAATGTTTATTCAGTATACAACTTGCCATCAATATTAGCTTTCCCTAAAGTATGCAATAGCCTAAGGTGCAATTTCCTCAAATGCATTGTATCAGTTCATACCTTTATTGTAGATAGTCTTGGCCTGAAAGGATTCTTCTGTGGCTCCTTATCTTTAAATTAAAGGTGACTCAGTATACACACAGGGGTGAGAAGTTTTTTAAAGAAACAGATAAGCAGCATTCTAAGGGCAACACACACGCTGTAGTTGACAATCTTTAACCCATGGTTTCATTTACCTTTTCCATTGGCAACGGTGACACCATTGTGTTGAGGCATTCAGTTCTTAGACACAAAATTAGAAAAAAAGTCTTATACATCAGGTAATGCCACCTGTCTGGTGTTTCAGGTAGAAAATGCCCAAGATCTTTAAAGTGGTAGTTATTAAAATTCAAGGAAAAATATCAATTCATAGACAAAAAGGCGCATGAAACGTTTTTAGGGCAAAGTCAAGTAATTTTTGATACCTTAGTATATAATTAATATAATTTCATTAACCCTTTGAGTGGCACAGGTTTTTGAATCTGATCATGAAGACCTGTATTCAAACAGCATTTATTAGCTAAATTTGTAGAATTAATTAATTTATCATCGGTTTTCATAAGCTTGCAATCATTAAGATGATACTTACATCATTAAAAGAAAGTAAGAAATCAAAATATTTTAAATTATAGGCTAATATATTCCAAGTGACAAAAGATCTCATGACCGATCAAGGCGGTCACGCCAGTCAAGTGGTTAATATACCATTGCATCATCTACATCTTACTACAGACTTAGCAAAGTTTGTAATCTACCTTTCTATATACTGACTATTTTACTTATATTCAATGTTTTGAATCTTTGCTTATACCAATACTTGGTGTGAATCTTTTCTTCATACCAAGTTTTTATTTGTCTTACTAACTTAAAAACCTTAAGACCTTACTCAACATTGAAAATAATTTTTGTTAAAGTGTTCTGGTTTTTGATAAAGTTTTCTTATAATATTACCTTAATTATATGAAATGAAACTAATTACATTGTTTGTTTAAATATTTGGTTTTACGAAAATCTTATTTTGAACACTTACTCGTAACAGCATTTTCTGTGTGGAAGGCTGAAATTCATGCCCTGCTGCCTTTAGACAGCATTCCACAGCTTCTTCTAATTCATTCTTTTCACGGATCATTCTCATGTATTCATCCGCTTTGTGGCTACGACGCTAACAGAAAAGAAGGCACTAAACATACATCTAACAAATATTAATCGGATCATTAAAATTTTAAATATTTACATCTTAATCTTCAAAACTGACAGTCAAATTTAAAAAAACATAAATGCAGTGTTTTCAGAACAAATTCAATGCTTATTTGATTGTTACGATAATCTGTCTAAGCATATTGTAAATTCAAAACCATATTTAAATATTCTTATGAAGATTAGTATTTGATAGAATCAAAACAAATGCATTTTACAAAAATTACACAGATATCTAATTTTTTAAATTAGTGAAATCTAATGACTGATAATTAGAAACATTCTTCTTTATATAAAGGAAATACCAACTCTGAATTCATTGGAAGCTTCTAAAAGTAAAGCACTGGGAGAAAGAGATCCTATTCGAAATACATCTGCGACAGCATCTTAAAGAGAAAATGTACTTTTGTTTCAAATGAATAAAGGAAAAATTCCATGAAGATATAATTAAAACAACAGCTTATTAACCACAGAAATGAATCGAATTTTATACAGAATCAATACACCAGAATTTAAAAATTCACCATGGTAAAACTAATTTAAATTTTAAAAACAGCATATCAAAGTATCTATTTAACAAAATTTCACTATGCAATAAGTGATCTTCAATATAACAAATCCGTCTTTCAGGTAAGAAAAGAGTAATAATTACACTAATAATTTTTCCTAATTTTAAAATTACTTATACTATAAAGCATGTCAACTTCAGGTCAGCTTATATAAATGTTCCAAAATTTATATAAAACACATTAACTTCAGATTAGTTTATATAAATGTAATAAAAATTTATATGAAACATGCAAACTTCTTCAGCTTCAGCTAACTAATTGTTGATATTTTAGAAAGGGGAATATAACCTAGAGTGCTTTACTGAAATCGGCACACAGAAAAGGATTATTAAAAAATGAACACTTACACATTATGCAAGTTTACACTTTTTTCCTAGCTATCTAAACTATTCAGATGTCTAGAAATCTGAGAAAAATTTTCTTTCTCAACAACCATGTTTCATAATCGTTTTAGCTTCAAACCATCTCCCCTGTTCAAATTTCTTTAATATTTCATGATTATGTATAATGATGAATTTATGATCACAAACCCAAGGTATCATTTACTTCATACTATCTAAGGCAAAAAGGTTCAATATTTTTCTCTATGGCCTCATACCTATATTTACTACAATACATGGGCTTTAACAATTCTATAATAATAATGATAAAGTTTGCCTGTGTGTGCATGTAAATAAATAGCATAACACAGTGATGAATAAGGCCAGAGCTATAGAGCTTGAAATATATAATATGTATAGATGATGCAGGTGTGCACTTACAAATGACTTTATTCAAAATTCCATTTAGCTAAAATTACTTGAATATGGGAAAGCATACAAGAGATATCTGTCTAAGAGAAAAGATGCCTTTGTGGAAGGCTCGCTAAGGAAAAATCGCTCATATTCACATTACTTTTGAAGGGGAAAAAATTGGAATTTAGGTTGGTTTATTTATTATTATTATTATTATTATTATTATTATTTTAAATGTTAAAATTTTAGAGTACTTTTCTGTTAATGGGTGCCAGTCACCAAATATGAAAGCCTATTTATTTTGCATCATGTATCCATGATGTTTAATGTGCACAATGTTTAATATGTGCAATACCAAGGTTATCTGCAATGCCAATTTGTGCAGTTCCCTGATGGTTATTTAAGTTAAAACAGATCACTGAATAACAGCCATCTGTTTTTAATTAAATGAAATCAAAGAATTGCACAAATTTGGCACTGCGCATATTAATCCTCCAAACAATCAAGAATTTAGATCTCAATTCTTATTCCCAAAAAGACCATTAGTATAGGGTATTTTCTTGATTATAATTCCAAAATGACCCTCCCAGGTTTTCTTTCATTATATATGCTACATTAATTACCTGGGCACATTTAAAGATAATATCTGTATACTTAAAAATATCAAGACTAATATTTTTGGACATACAGGCAGCCCGATTTTTGCACATAATTGGTACCTGAAAGTGAGTTCAAATGTTGAATTATTCAAAAGGAGAAGAATGTAAAAAAAAAATATGCAAAAACTGTGTTTTAAAATATTTATTTATCAATATGTACACATAATGATGTAAATGAGGTGTGTTTAAAAGCTTTCGGGTATTTATAAACTTGTCAAGAGTTAGTTGAATACCACCTGACCCCCGTTTGAAAAGATTTCTATAACATGTCGTGTCTTTCTCAAATGCCCTAGATATTTGAGGGCATTTGAGATATTTGAGATATACGAGATTAGAATACTGAGATTAGAATCTGCTCAATTGGGATTAAAAAATGTCTTTTCTGCAGAAGTTTTGCAGCTAAAGAAAGAAAGAAATCTATGTTATGTAGTGATATTTTTAAATAAATTCAAGTATTTTATACAGTCAAATACCGAAAAACTGCCAACCTGAAATCCGTGTTGCCTCTCAAAATATAAACATTCAGTCAAAATCGTAAAACAACCTTGTATTTAGCGTAAGTATATTGAAACACTCAATCGATTTCAAGGGCAGCTAAAGGTTCCTCCTCATCAGGGGAAAGAAATACCTAGAAAGAAGAAAATAAAGGGGGAAGGATCTTAGAAACACGTGGTCCTTATCAGCACTGCACGTGGTTATAACCAGATTTTTAATCAGAGTTACACTGGCCGCCTACTTTTACTGCAATGAGGGAAAAAAATAAAGTTGCTTTCAGAAAAGTTAGAATTTTCAGAAGATAAAAAGATTTTTAACCCATCTCCTCACCAATTCTTTCTTATTTTTTAATTTGATGCTATAAGTCAAATTTTTTAAGTCTTTTATTTGAATGCAGCTTACTTAACAGCCAAAGTACAATAAACATTGATACTTTTCAGTAACCTTTCCCAATTTTGCTAAAATTCTACTTTATACACATATTTTTTAATAATCGATTTAGGTAAGATACCTTGGTAAGATTCTTTCCACTTGAAAATAAAACTCCATTGGGTAATTTTCTACTTATATAAAAAATTTATTTCTCCCTATACCTTTTTTATTTGGTCAAAACATTTAATATTTTAAAGTCAAGTGAAAATTTTCATTTTTATTCATAATGTAATAGTGTAATTTTTTTTTTTTTCATTTCAACGTACATACAAAAGTATCACAGTCATTTCAACCTACATAGAAACGTTTTTGTTCACACATATTAATTTTAAAATTCACTTTAAATTAATATATATGGACAAAAATGCTTTCTTTAATGTATTTTTCAGGTTTTAAAAACAAATTCAAAATAATTTTTAAAAAATACCTGGAACTTTTTGCAAAAGTTCATGTGTTGTATTTCCAATTATTCGCACACCATCTATCTCTGGCACCAAATGGATTGGAGTGTAAAATATTTCACTAAAAATAGTTAAAATGCATCAAATTCAGTAAACATCTCAATCTGTATTGAATATCTTCATCTCTTATTGTCCCCTCTTCCAAAATTATAAATGAAAAAGAACTAAAAGCATACTTAATGAAGTCTTTTTCAGGGCCTATAACAATCATTATATTTTCAATTTCAATTTGCCAAAAAGCAACTACTGCACCATTACCACACCTGCAAATAAAATTAAGCATTTAAAAAGATAATAAAACATTACTTTGCAATGCACAGAATATACTATGAAACTAAGAACTGATAAGTAACAAATACAAGATTGCTTTACTGAAACATGAATTATTTTAAAGCTTTTAAAAGAAAATTTTAATAAATAAAACAGTAATTCCATTATCTTGTTTCAAGGGACAAGCATGTCTTTGTTCAACTCTATATAATAATAAAAATATATTGTATATAATATATAATAATAAAAGAATTCTTGTCGAATACTTTACCAAACTAACTGCTGAGGTCGAACTTTACTTTGAGTATCAAATTCACAATACTTTTTCTAATAAGAAAATATTTATTAATCATTAAAACAATTATAAATAGAACTCATAAAATTTTGAACAATATAAATTCAGAAATTCATAAAATTTTGAACAATATAAATTCATTCATACTAAGCTCAGAAATTTAGCCTAATTAAATATGCTACAAAATGAAAATCATACATTTATCATAATATTTCAAAGTATATAAACCCTGTATTTCTATTTGACTCACTATAGATTTATGCATAAATTATTATTATGAAAAAGTTTCGACACATGCAAACTTGTAAGTCATCTGAAATAATGAATTAGTTTTAGAGTTAAGTAATAAAGTCTTATCTTCTCTTTATATTTTCTACACCTAAAAATTCTTGCATAATTTGAGATGAAAAGTAATGAAAAAATTAAGGTATGTAAAAAATCTCAAATCAGAATTATACCTTAAAATTATATAGCATATATTATTCGCACAGATAAGTTTATTTGAGATTTTTTGAATTAAATAAAAACTAGAATTAACATTTTAAGATAATAATTATTTAAATAAGCCTGTATATTTATTTTTATATAGTAATGAAAAAATTATTTTAAAACTAAATAAAAATAAACAAATGTATACACACAGCATTTTTCAAGCTTCCAATTTCAGTTTAATAGAATTATTAAATGATAGATCAAAAGAACACATGGTATCAGAACCAGATTCAGAAACGTATGTGTATATGTGTATATATGCATATATCTGAGAGTGTATGTATATATACACACATACATGCATGAGTACTTTTTCTATTATGCATGCACATGGCAAAATGCTGGCAGGAGAATAATGGAATAGAACCAGAAATTAAAAACAGAATAATTCTTGGTATAAAACAAACTTATGAATCAATTTTTTTTAATGTATGAATTATTACATTTGTTTCCAATTATTTTTAATGGAAAAATAACATGATTTATATGTTAAACAATTTAAAAGTAACATAGGTGTGGTGTATTTAATTATGGCAAAGCACACTAGGGCTATCTGCCTAAGGGGAGGGATGCCTTCGTGGAGGACTTTCTAAGGGAAACTGGCTCGTATACACGTTACACATGGGGAAAACCATGAAAACACCCATGCAGCCAACCCGTTCGCGAGATTCGAACCTCGGACCGAACTACCAGTGTTCAGTGACTTTAATGCTCGGCCGCTGGTGGGCAAAAGTAACATAGGAGCATAACACAATTTATTTAACAAAAAATAAAATTTGTATCTAACTGATGCATATAAAATAATAAATATAATTTCAAACATTTTTAATATAACATTAATGAAGTAATACAAATTTAATAAGTTTTTCATAAATTTTAGAATACTGAGATAGAACATTTCAAATTGTCAGTAATTTTGCAGCAAATTAAATCCAAAAATGCTGATTACTAACAATTAAACATTATGACTTTAATTCTGCTTTAATGTCTAAAATGCTTTACAGATGTCTGTTTGTTTATTGGAAAATTAAATAAGAAAATAATTATGCTGACTAAAACAATATACATTAACTGTACTTTTACATCACTAGAAATACAAAACATAATTTTATGACTTATTAAAAATTTTATAACTTACTAAAAATCAACAACAGTTAATATTAACTCACTAAATAACAAACCTCAAGGTTTGCTGCTCCCATCCATAGTGCACCATTATCACAGAAGAGTGCAACATGTTGATTGTTGCAGGATACTGCTATTTCAGTAATAGCATTTATAGGATTGTTAAATTTTGGAAACTAAAAGTGATAAAAAAATTTTTTTAATATAAAATGATAAAAATTATTGCAGTTAACACTCACTCATTAAATGTAAATAATTTACTGTAACTTTACATAAAACTTTAAACAGATTAATGTGAGGAATTGGCAACTTATTGCAATCTCACAAATGGAAACTAATTCTTTATCCAGTTGATGAAAAATTAATATATACCCAGACTAAAAAAAAAAAAAAAATAAAAAAAAAAAAAAAATAAATAAAATAAAAAAAAAGTTTAAAAAAAATATTTGAATATTTTACCAGTTAAACATTTTAGGCTGCAAAACATTATTCCATTTCCTTGTGTGTGCTCTCATAGTGTAACAGGTAACACATCCAGCAGTCAACTGGAAAATCTGGTTACTCTACAAAGGCACAGCTTATTTTTTACATTTTTTTCTTAAAGTGTGGTAGACATAATGTCTCTACAGTGGCACTTAATTAAAATATGGTAGATAATAATTTTTTCACCTGGATTAGGTCAACTGGGTCTCATTCCTCTCTCTCCAGTTGCTCTTTAAGTGAGAGGGAATATAAGAAACTATTGCCCCCCTCCCCCATATGTACTCTTCTGGTATAATAACCTGGGTTGCAGTTGGAAGATCGAGGTTCGTTGTTTTGGTGAAGGCATTACTGGCTTTTTTCATGTTTCTAGTTCAAATAAACAGCATATATGGATTGTCTATAGAACATTATGCTCAGCAATTAGTTTTAATTTTTGTTTGCCATTATATATTCAACATTTATACATAGTAGAGATGTATATCTTTGTTTACTTCTAAAAAACTGATTTCAAATCATTGTAAATATCTATGTTTCCCATAAATTTATATTCAGCACATGTTCATTGTGATTTCATAAGAACTCACAAGTTATCACATGACTACAGATTTAAAAGCATAATGGTAAAGTATTTATCACTAATATGTAGTTACCTATAACTTAACATCAAACTATTTTTTTCCCAAATGCATCAAGATAATTCTGTCAAAAAAATGTGATAATACCCTTAGAAATTTTGAACATCTATGGAACTTCATGGACTCATTGTCTAGAAAAATATCATAATCATTTATGATAACATAAAAATTATTCGTAAGATTCACTCTAATGGAAAATTCTACACTATTCCTATAAAATATCCAAATTTAAGAGCATATATTTCTTTCCCTGTTTGGCAATTAAGAAAAATTATTTGAATAATGAAAAAAAATTTGCGTCGTTTTAAAATGACTTAATTTAGAAACATTTTAGCAAATTTTTCAGATCATAATTATATTAAAATTCATTTAGAATTTCATGAAAAAATACTCAGAAATTTTTTAATTATTAAAAACTTGGAACTGACATTTAATGTGACACCTGAATGCCACACATGAAATTTCCTGATGTATCTTTACCAGTCTTAATAAAAAAAATAGAATAAGCATTAATTATTTTAATCTTGGATGCTTTACACTTTTTTAGTCTTCAACACTTTGGTTAAATAAGCAAAAGTTCTATTCTCACTCTTAAAAGTTGCATTTTCATGAACATCATCTTGCCAGTCAGCCTTTTTGGGTTCTATGTACTTTATCACTTTTCTCCCATGAGTCAAATGAGTCATGAAGGAAACTTTATTACAAAACATTACAAAATAATTCAGTGAACAGTAAATTAAATAAGAAGTATGTCTTGCTAGGCAAAACTTCATATAAGAAATGACTCAACAAGTAAAATAAACCACTATCAACATTGTCTGACCATTGTTGGAAGGACACTGCTATAAGATTGCTTAACTCATCTCTGGTATGTTGTCATCAGACACACTATATCAAGCTGCATTAAGAGCAATGTATACACACACCCTACAACAGCGTGGGACAAAGTGAACTGTTCTTTCCTCACTGGACACTTTTTCAAACCACTCTGTTAGGTATGGCAGTTAGCAGAGCCTCGGGTTCAGACCTCAAAAAGACAGAGATGCTTGTAAATGCATAGTGTCTTCAGGATGCTTAAAATCCATCCAACCTAAACTTCCCTTGAGAGATAGGAAGAGAGATACAAGATCCTTGGATTCCATCTTCCAGAGCATTCTTTGTCAAAAATTGGATAAAGTTGAGCATTTAATAAAAGTGAGCATACTTATAGGTGATACATATATAAAGTCATACAATCACATATAAGGTGCCCAAGATATGGACCATAAATTCACAATAACAAGCAGTACTGTCTCTGTGTTGGCCATGATGAATCTATGGACCTGAGCTAGATTCTGTTTAAATAGAAGACTAAGTACAGCTGCTTCGAAGTAATGTCAAAAAAGTGTGAAGCGGAAACGTCTCCTTAAGTACTTAAGATACCTATATCAAATACAAAGACTCTCTCTGGAAAATCAGTTTATATTTAAATAAGCAGTCCCAAAATCCCAATGAATAGGTGGAATGAACTCACGTTGAAAGATAAGAGATTCTAAAAAAAAAAAAAAAAAAAAAAAAAAAAACAAAAAAAAAAAAAAAAAAAAAAAAAAAAAAAAAAAAAAAAAAAAAAAAAAAAAAAAAAACAAAAAAAACAAAAAAAAAAAAAAAAAAAACAAAAGAGCTGATGTAGACTGATTTAAGAAATAAATTTCAAACATAAGGTCTATTTTTAACAGGCAAATGTTATTTTATAGGTTCCATCAATTCATTAGTGTTTTACAATATACATTTTCTATTGCAATGCATGGGTACAGCTTTTATCATATGAAGGCTATTTTTTTCAAGATCCGAATGGTCGCAAAGTGAACCACAGTATTTTTATCCGGGATATCCGTTTCAAAATTTCTTCAATTTTGAAGCGGACCTGTCTCGTCACCTGTGATAATTTTTTCAAATAATCTTCTCCTTCATCAAAATAGTGCTGGAGAAATGTTAAGGTGGTGGCCATTTGCAGTATTTTGTGATGGTCAGACAGCATCTTGGAACCCATCTTATACAAAGTTTCTGGTAGTGGAATCTCTCAGTCACGATGGTATAAGAGAGCTGACTGTAAAATTTCGGAAACAAATCAATCAAAGAAATTTTGAACTAATGATTTTCTTGAAATGCCTAATCAACTCACTAAACAAGATCATCGGTTGACACTTGGTTCCTTCACTGCCCACCTGTATCGTGAACGTCTGTATGTCCTGCTTCAAAATTCCTGCACCATTGCCACACTTTGCTGTCACAAAGTTTTTCCGTACACATTACTCATTCTTTGATGAATTTTATCTGCAATGCACCTTTTAGCATTCAAAAATCAAATGACAGCATGCATGCAATTCAGGGATGTTAACACGCTCACTGCACGACTGATAACTGAGACCTTATGCAATCGACAGGAATATTACAGATACTGCATAACATATCAGCATACAGTGTCATCAGATTTTTAACGGAATTTGCATTTCAAGCCTGACTGGACCTTGAAAAAAATACTCCTTGTATTAAATACATAATTTATAAAAGTTCTAAATAAATTAAACATATCACATAATTTTAGTTTTACAAATATTCATTTACTTATGAAACATTTACATATTTCTGCATTTTAGTATAAATTATATTAAACTATTTAAAATATTATATTAAGAATTTGAATACCACTGAAAAGGCATACATAAAGTTCATATAAATACTAATAGAGACATATGTAATTTATACATATCAGGTTGTAACAAAAGTTTCCCGCCACCACAAATATAATCAGCGTAAACAGCTTGTATTGCCATGTTTAATCACACTTTGTCAAATGACTTTTAACATTTGAAAGAAAGAGATCTGCTTTAGAACACTGTGTTGTGAAATTTGAACAAAAATATATTGTTAAGTACAAGGTATCTCTGAAATGGAACTATCACGCTACTAGATTAGACCATCAATTACTTCCAGTTTCTGTTGCAAAAAGTCGGCTACAGAATGTCACCAAATCATGTGTATAGCTTTAGTTACTAATGATGTATCATATGATACTGTGAAGGTTTGGTACCAAAAGTCAAACACAAGGACTATGACATTCAAGAAGCAGATTATCAGAGGGCAATCAATAACACTGTGAACATCATTGGTCATAGGGTCTGCGCTGATAATCATAATGCTGGAATTGAACAAGTGGCATGTCACTGCCATATTTGTCTCCCAGCTGCTGAACCCTGAAATGAAGGAAGAGCGCTCTGGCCAACTTACTGATGTTGATGAGGTCTGCCTGCAAGAATTTGTGGAAACAGATCAGTATGCAACAACTCGTGAGCTTGCTGATGAGTTAGACGTTAGTTCCATGTTCATTAGTCGCACTATACATGTTGCATAAACTTGACGTACAAGTTAACTGGTGCTGCATGAGCTGACTCAAGCAGATAAGGACAGATGTGTTCAGGCCTGCACTAATCTGCTCGAATATCAACGCAAGAACAAAATTCTGGAACGGATTGTCACTTATGATGAAAAGTGGATTTACTTCAACAACATAGGCCAAAAAGGGAGTTGCTCTGCTGGCCTGGTGAGCGCCATCAGCAGTGTCACAAAGCACAATTTGACTAACAAAAAGATAATGCTTTGTATCCAGGTGGGACTGCCATGATATTATCCACAAAGAATATCTAGAAAGAGGTAAAACCCTTCAACAGTTAAGGTGCACAGTGAGATGCTTAGTTCTGTGTTGACATGTTGTTATCAAGGAAAAATGTCGAACTGAGTTCCGGCACAAAAAGGTATCATTCCATCAAGATAATGAAAGACCACACGTGTCTGCATTCATAGGCTAGACTCTGTAAAGACTAAACGATTGGAATCTTTGCCCACATCCACCATATAGCCCTGACATTCGCTCCTTCGGACTTCTACCTTTTTTTCACACCTACAGCTACATCTTGCTGGTGCTATCCTCCATTCTGCATAGGACGTCCGAAATGAGGTTGATCTGTTTTTGGACTCATGGCCACCAAAAGTTTCTCTGTCGAAGGTTTTGAAAAACTACCAAAACATCGCAGAAAAACCGTAGTTTTGCATAGTGATTACTATTTGCACTAAAGGTACTGCTTTCATGTTTTTTCTAACTTCATTAAGAAAATTTTTTGGCAGAAAACTTTCATTACAACCAGGTATTAATAAAGGCATATGTAAAGTGCTTTACTACTGTATGCATTTAAAATTCTACTTAAACATTTTAATGAAACAAATAAATTTAAATACTTGTCATTAATTTTATGTGTCCAAATTTATGATGAATCTTGAAAAAAGCCTACTTCAAATATTTTCATTAATATTATTTTTCAAAACCATTTTCATCATGAATCTCAGATTTGACATAACACAGAATCACAAACAAAATAAGCATGTGGTAGACTCAAATAATTTGTAGCAATCTTTGCTAAATATTCTGCACAAATTCTGTATAAGCTAAACTCAGTGGCATAACAGCCCTAGTGGGCCAAAACCAGCAGCGCCCCGAAATCCGCTTTCTTGACTGTGGGCCCCGGGGTGCATAAGCATATGCCCTGAACAAGTGATCAGCTTGTCACAGGACCCCCCAGTCCCCAAGTGAACTTGATACTCATTTTATTGACCCAAGGGATGGAAATCAAGGGATACAAATTCAGTATGCCATCATTTTATTTATAAAATGAGAAAAACCTGGAATCTTGTTTTTTGTTATTGTATCTTATCTCACTTTATCAACTGTGACATCTGGATCAAGTCCATGAACCCATAGATTTTCAAACAATGAAGAACCACACCTTGACTGGAATGCATCTGGCTCTTCAGGAAACCAATGCATGATAAGATATGGGCACGAGTGGCCTGGGTCAAACTGCCTTTTGGGCAAAAGAGATAAACTTTAAGGTTGAGCATGAAGATGACCACTGTGGAACCTAGCAAGAGCTGTCTGTTCACATCTACTGTTTGAGCCAATCATAGCAGCACCAGGACAATTAAATCGTACCACTCATGAATAGGGGCCTTGCTCTTGAAGGGAATAAAATGCAGCTTCAGAAAGTCCAGAACCTTGAGGCACCAAAAGGTTGAAGTCTGAGTTTGCCTCTGCCTGCCATGCTTTACCTGAGCATATTGGAATGGCCTTCATGACTAGGGTGGCCCTACCAGGAGTATACACTCCCGACATACTTCATCCATTCCACCCAGGGTCACTTCCCTGCCACGATGAGGCAGCACAGCAGGACTTAAGGGAAGCCTTGATTCTTAAAAACTACTACAATGATTCTGAAACATATATTTCATGTGAATTTTTCTTTTAAATTCCAGTTTTTGATTTACTTATTCACTACGCAGCAATATAACTGTTAACCGTATAGTGTTAACAGATGAATATAACTGCATTTTGATACATGCAATATTTTCAAATAGAAGATAAATTTCATTTAAATAATAAAATCTCACCACTTGAACACATTTGCCTTCATTTTGCAACAGTGTATATAATGTAGCATCTTTTGCTACTAAAACTTTGGTTTGCCTATCTTCGGCTACAACAGCCCAGCTGCTTGGAGGTGCATCAAGACCTTGAAGATGAAAATTGGAAATGCTGATGATTCAAAGAAATTCACAAGATATATAATAGTTTAAGAATAAAATAAATTACAAAGTTCATTTTATCAATGAAGGTGTGAATTCCTATATCATTTACACACTTTATTAATAATACTACAATCAACTCCTGATTAACTACAGTAATACCAGGAACATCTTCCCGATTAACTCAAAATCATGGTTGATCTGAGGGCAAATAAAAAAATTTGGAAGAAAAAAACAACCCATCTTATAATTAAAACAAATATGATTGACAATATACCTGTTCAATCAGTTGCATCTTGTGAATAAATTCCTTTAGTTAGTTAAATTAATTCAATATTTAAAGTTTTTCTCTCTTACATGCACACTCTCTTCCTTCCTCCCTCTATTTTTCCCTCCTCTGTGTCCCTCTGTCCATGTCCCCCCCCATTTCACAATTTGCATGCTATTTGTTTGTAGTGACATTACATTACACTGCACAATTTACTTTTAGTGGATGGATGATTTAACAATTTGTATAGATTCCAGATTATGTATAGTTAAATTATATACTGTTGTCAGGGCTTAATTTCTAAGATTAGAAGTGCCAGAGCCCTATGGAAGACCATCAGCAAAGAGGAACAAGAGTAAAGAAATAAATAAAATGACCATTAAACTCATTAATAATTTTAAAATTAAATAGTTAATTATTATAAAATTAATTAATAGGTATTTAATTAATGTTTTTAAATTGTTATTTAATCAATAATTATTATATATTTAATTAATTAAAATTTAATTTATAATTACTAGATAATTAATTATAATTTCATTTATAAGATTGTTATTTATTGAAATAATTAAAGATTGAAGTAATTAAATAATTAAATTAATAAAATGTAAGAGATAAGTGAATTTTATAACCAATTTTTAATAATTTTATTGTTAAATAAACTTTTGCGATAAAATTTCTACTGAAATTGTTATTCAATTACCTAAAACAAGTGCCGCAGCCTTCTTATTTAGGGCTCTGGTACGCTCCAGCTAGAATTATGATTTATCACAAAAACTAAGAAGCACCGGAGCCGGACATCCTGTCAGGCTCCGGCCCAATTTAAGCTCTAATCGTAGGAGGGAAAAGTTCTTTTATCATCACAAAATTAAATATTACTTAAAGTATAGCTGGTGAAAATTCAGATAATGCTAAAAACAGGGTGAAATCAGAATGAGGGCGTTAGGGTATGAGTGGGTGGAAACAAAAAATAAGGGGAATCTTAGGTGAGAGAGAACGTTCTTCTTTGACCGCAGCTCTCTGCTGATATAATTATAGCCATCAAGCAGATGTGTGTCAGGGGTAAAATGAGTCCTGAATCTGACTCCTAAGGATGAAAGTAAAGTTGCTGGTTACGCTCCCTCCCCATTAGTGGATACTGTGGGAAGGCAATGTATAGGATGTGCTTGAGCAGTTTATAAGGTATTTCTCCCACTTCCCTAGCGTGCCTTCGTGGTGTAACCGTAGCACGCTGGGCCAGTATTCCAGAGGTCCGTGGTTCGATTCCCGGCGAAGGCGGTTGCATATTTTTCATCTTTTCTGCTTCTAATTAACCTAGTGACTCTACAAGTTTATCTTAGTATTTCAGTCTTATTGTACTCACTGTCACTTAACACACATTTTCCTTCCTGCGAGGATAATTAACAGCAAGCATCGATAACAATACACTAGATACGATGGCATGGCGAGAAATTTAAGCGTTCCTAAACAAACTCCCTAAATTTATTGCCCTTCTTAAAGGGAAAGGTTTCTGCATGTAAGTGCAGGGACTTTACTTGAACATTTCATCTTCTCATGAGTTCGTATTTCTAGGGAAATAGAGTATTGCAAGGTCTGCTTATTGTTAAACTAAAATGTTAGGAATTCTAATTTTTTTCCCTTTAAATTGTGGTTCAGTTTTATAAAAAGAAGTACTAGAGGTCATATTATTTAAGGCCCCGATGCACTCTGGCTAAAATTGTAATTTATCTTAAAAACTGAGAAGTACCAGAGCCGGGCTCCGTTAGGCTCCGGCGCAATTTAAGCACTGACTGTTGTGGATAAAAACCAGTACTTTGGTATTATATTATCGCAACCATCTTGGTAGAAGTCGCAAAACTGTGGCCACCATGCGCATAACAATTCTTTAGGTAGCCAATATTGATAGCTGTAAGTTTTAAAAAGCAATGTTACCATTTTTATACATGCTGTTTTTGTTGTATCAGAAGATCTAAAGGTAAACTGCGAAATTTTTTGTTGTCAGCTGAATTCTGAAATATGTGCTTGTGGGATTTGCCTGCAAACGAAGAAAATTCTGTGAAATTTCTCCAGGAAAATAATATTTTGCCAGAAAGGTGGGAATGTTCAGGTTTGCATATGATGATAAATGTATTTTGGAAAACAACCGTTTTTGGAAATGCAGTGTAAAATATGTAATGAACATGTTGGCATTTGAAGCAGGAATTCGTTCAAAAACAGAGTCTACCATTTATACAGCAATCACATTTATATATTGCTGCAGTAAAGAATTAATGAGTGGTTTCGCAAGCTTTGAATCTATTTTTAAGCAATTGCTATGAAATTTCCAACAGAAGAAAAGAAACAAAACCCTATTTGTCAATAGTTTTATAAATTGTTTTCTGGGATAAATATCAAGCTGAAATTAAAATATGTACCTTATAACATGTTATGAAATAAATAAATAACTCTCCACTTTGAAATTACCATTCATTTTCTTCTTAAAAAAAACCCCGCCAAATTATGCCAAGATGGTTGCGATAACACCAAAGTACTGAAAACCCTTTTGAAATGCTATGATGTCTTTTTCTATCATTGGTGTGATCTCTCGGTTTATCTTTTCCTTTTTTGTATTTTCTACACCTAATTTTGTCATACACTAATATTTGTAATCCAGGAATTAATTGACCTCTTAAGTAACAGAGAGTTGACTGTAAATAAATATTCAGATAAGAAACAGAGAATAACAGCTTTAATTTTAAATGAATATAACTTTCTAACTGTAGAAATATCTAATTATAACTGTAAAATTTTTAATTAAAAATTTTTAAAAGCTAAAAAATTCATTTAATTGTTAACAGAAATCTTATTTGATTTAAATTTATATACTCGTATATCAGATAATAATAACTACACTCAAAAAGAATCAAATGCTATTTCTATCATCTATCATTCAATCCTTATGGCTTTAAAATAATCAAAACCAAATACTAATTAATATTGGTTAACTGGACTTAATACTATTTAGGTAATTAAAATAATTGGCAATCCAAAAGTTGCACGTTTAAATTTTTAAAAATTGTGAAAATTCAGAAATGGATATTAATGGCAAATTGTTTCAATGAATAGCCCCCTATTCATATAAGAAATCACTTTTATGAGTAATATATCAATTGAAATTTCACTTTTATTTTATGCTTATGAGTTTATGCTGTTAGCTTTAATGGAAGACGCAGACAAGATTTTCCCTAGCAGAATGAATTTTTATGATTCAGCATTACTTTACAATATATTAATTCGATTTGAATGCCATCTTTCTCACATACATTATTATCGGATAGAACATTTTATCAGGGCTGTGGAGTCGGTAGGGAAAATGACTGACTCCGACTCTTGGAATTTTAATGACTCCGACTCCTTCATATATATGTAAACATATACAGATGGGTACAGCTTATTTTTTTAATGTAAAAGAAGTAATAGATGCTACAGAAGAAAATTGATGCATTGCGAATTTTTTATATTAATTAGCATTTATTATGAGATGAAAAAACTGGCATTAGTAATTTCTAAGAAACAGTAAAACTTTAGCAAGATCTTCTTTGTCAGAGGACCATAGAAACGATTTGATAAACTTCAGAACTGAGAAGAGTGTTTCCACACTGACTTCAGTAGGAAGAAGAGCTGTTACTGTTAGAGCTACTTCCTTTAACTTTTCAGAATAGATTTTTATAAGTTCTAAAAGAGGTGTCTTGCAAGAGCAATCATATTTATCTATTTGTTCAAAGACCATGTATAAATCTTGTTTGTGTTTTTTCATTTTTATATCTAAAGGCTCGTGGTTATTTATTTTCATTCGCTTTGCCTTAGCCTTAATATTATCCAAATATTTCTCAAAATCTAATTCATCAGTGGAAGAGGATGATAGAGACTCAGTTGCAATATCTACAGTTTGACTGTCCTGATTTGAATACTCCATTTATTCTGAGAATTATTTCATTCTTAATGAAAGTTCATAGATGAATTTCTTTGCCTTTTTAATTTGTTTGTCATCCAACAAAATTCGGCATTCTGGATATATATATATATTGAACCCAGCACAATCTTATTGTCTAGCAAACTAGTTTCTCTTTTCTTCACTGAAGAAATGGTTCCTTTTGCAATAAACTCTTCATTTCAGAAAGAATAAAAATCACATTCTTCCAGTCTTGCCTCTTGTTAATTCTTCAGATTGTAGCTTTTTGGTGGCTATATACGGTATAGAAAGAAGAGTTTCCAATTCTGCAAGATCATTCCACAGTCTTTCTGTTAGTGAAATATTAGGGTTATTTACATCTTCTGAAAAAGTTCTTAATAGTAACAACCACTATATCATCAAATATGTACTTTTCCAGTGCGTTGCTCCTTTTCCTGCTCGCTTTCTAAGAATGGCATCAATTTTGGGAGTTCTTGCTGCTTACCTAAATTCACCAATGAGATTAGTAACTAAATGAATCAGTTTAATCAATAATGGCAAATATCACATCCATCCTGCTCCCTTATATTTATTTACTCATATGTCAATAAAATGGAAAATAACTATTGGCAAATATCACGTCCATCCTGCTCCCTTATATTTATTTACTAATATGTCAATAAAATGGAAAATAACTATTTATTAATGTATATAGTCCACAAATAAAAATATTAACTTAGTTTGTCATTATTTTTTTTTTTTCAATTCACATTAATTTCATTTCAAATTCAAACTGTTCAACAAAAATTGGAGTCGGAGTCAACGTGTTCTTTTAGCAACTCCAACTCCGACTCCTTTTACCAAAAATCTACTAGACTCTGATTCCAACTACATAGCCCTGTATTTTATTCTTAATTTTTTTCAAACTCAGAAGAAACAGGCAAGTTTCCAAGCAAAAAATCATTATCTTGTTAGATTCATGAACACATGGAAAGGTTCTTTAAACACTTCAATAAACTTTCCATAAAATTGCATTGAAAAGTAATGTTCAAACATACAAATTCAGTCTGCCTCTGTCTCACCTTTATTCTTACCTCTGTCATGCACCAAACAAATAGTTTATACAGTTAGTAGTATATTGAAATTTCAAGTGACATTCCTTGTAATAGTACAAGGGTGTTATCCAGTGAAATAATTTTCCATTATTATCCATTCTGGAATTTCCCCACTTTTTTTAAGTCTGATGTATGCACTTTTCAGATCATCTTGTGTATATACACATTTGATTGAATTAGCTTCAATAATTCAATGGGCACTTACTTATTTAACTGTTTGATTCACAAGCAGCGTGATTGCGCTATTGAGATTTTATGTCGAGAAAACCCAGTACATTTCGAACAATGTGGACAAAATGAGAAACCCTTATAATAACCCTTAGAATATGTCCAATCGCTTTGCAAACTGCAATAAATGTGATGGAGCAATGAGAAAAAGATGAGAATTGCATTACCTAACAAATACAAGATGTGCTATTGCTCCGACTGGGATTCATCAATGTAAAGTAAACAAAGCGCTATCGCACTGCTTGGTGTTTCTTGACATAAAATAAAACAGGCGCTGTAGCGCTGTTTGGGCCTTTTCATACTCATTTAGAGAAAGCGCTGTTTGAGATTCTTCAAAAGTGTTTTTTCAATACCCCCTGGGACTCAAACGGTTAATAAAATATATATTAACTATTTCAATAATATAATAAATTGATGAATATTTTAATAAAAATATATATCACTTTATTAAGTACTCAATTCACAGAAAATTGTGACATTCTGGTAATAAAACCATGACAGAAAATGATGTGACTTCAATCTGGTATATATTTAACATATGGAATAGTTTTATTTGCACGTGTTTGCTTATTAGGATAGGCTAATAAGGAATAAGTGAAATGACATAATTTGCTGTGCAGCTCCTAGAGGCAATACCAACTTTTCAAGCTTTATTTAGACTATGATCATAAGTTTACCAAGAATGTTGTCACAGCCAGGAAACATCCAGATAATACTCAAGAGTAATTTATCAATAACAAAAGATAACAGAAAGGATCCTGCAGGGTAAATTACTGACAACTTTTATGACAGGGCTACTCATTATGCAACAAGTAATAGCATCAGCACAAAAAAAAAAAAAAAAAAAAAAAAGCTCTGGATTCAGCAGTTAAAACCATTAACTCCAAATCAGTGATAGTTAGAAAAATGTTACATAGTCCAACAAATCTGATTTTATAATATCATATGGATACAGTAGGTAAAAAAGTATTGGCAATTGCCTATAATTGATCATATTTCCTAACAAAGGAGATGCTTGACAATTTTAGCTGAACATAATGAACACTGGAGGTAATAAACTCACAAATCTAACAAAACTTTCAATTTAATATGTCTTTTACACAAAATATACAATAAAAATGTAAATTTGCATGTCAAAAAAGTATTGGCAAAGTTCTAACTGCAATGCAAATTTTGTTATGTTGAGGTCACGTGTTTAGACTGATAAGAAACCCTGTTAATATAAAGTCTGCAGTGCTACATCAAAACTTTTAAAATGTTATTTTGCTAATACTGTGATAAACTGGCTTTGAAAGTTGAAGGAGTTGGATGTTAATGTTAAAAACATGATTATTCAGCTCAGAAATGAGAGTTTATCTTATTGTGCTATAGGATTACAACTGAACAAAAGTTTATTTACTGTTAGAAGTGTTGTAAAAAAGTTCGAAGAGGCAGGATTGATGAAAAAAAAGATTAGAAGTGGAGGGCCTCGAATATTTTCTGCAAGATAAAATGAGGCATTATCAAAGAGGTTTAGAAAACGCTAAAATAAATGCATCCCAGTTAGCTGATGATGTTGCTAATACTTCGCATAAAACTTTTAGTGTACAGACTATACAGAATGTTTGACATAGAGGAAGTTATTATGGAAGGGTAGCTAGAAAGAAACCTTTCATTTCAGAAATAAACAGGAGAAAGAGATTGGATTTTGCAAAATCTCATGTTAATTTATAAGACGAATTTTGGAACACAGTTATTTTGTCCAACGAATCAAAGTTAAATATTTTCGAGAGTGATGGATGACAATATATGTGGAGAAAACCTAACACCAAACTGGGAAAACAACATTTAACACCAACTGTAAAACATGTTGGAGAGAGTGTCGTAGTTTGGGGCAGTATGGCAGCCCCCACCACCACCTCCCCAAATGGAGTTGGTAACCTGTGCTTCATTGATGGTATTATGACAGCACATACGTACATTGACATATTGTGCCATAACATAAAATTCAGTGCCCAAAAACTTAACTTAGGATCATCATTTGTGTTTCAACAGGACAATGACCCTAAGAATGCAGTGAACCTCAATAGTTACTCTATAACGCTCCTCGCCAGTTAAAGACATCGCTTGAATCACCTGACATAAATAAATTCAATTGAAAATTCATGGCACAAATTGGACATAGAAGTCAGGAGACAAATTTTGTGTAAAGATGAGCATATACTCCTGCAAGAATCTCACAAAATTCCTAACAGGACTTTGGTTTTCTCTATGAGAAATAGATTACAAGCTGTTATAAATGCAAAAGCTGTGAATACAAAGTATTAAATTTTGTTCCCACATTTTGCTGCATGATCTTGCCAATACTTTTTTTTTTTTTTTTTTTTTTTTTTTTTTTTTTGACATGCAAATTTACGGTTTTGTTGTATATTTTGTGTAAAAGGCATAGTAAAATAAAAGTTTCATTAGATTTGTGTCTTTATTGCTTCCTGTGTTCATTATGTCCAGCTAAAATTGTCAAGGATTTCCTTTGTTAATTAGATTGATCAATTACAAGCAATTGCCAATACTTTTTTTTTTTTTATCCACTGTACATCAGTATAACACTTAGTGAGCCAAAGTTTAGTATAACACAGAAGGGTCCAACATATATGGTGACAATATTATAAGTTATTAGTAATCTTGTAATGGTTTGCAGAGCCTTTTCATAGTAAAGATTACATTTATTACCAAAAAAGTACTTTTTGAATGTTAATTTACCTAAACATATATCTATACAACACATAAAAGAATGAAATATAATCTAAATGCTGAACAAATATATCTAGAAGTGGCTACTGTCCATACAACTATACATTCAATAGGTCATGCTACAAAGTTTAAACTGTTTCATGATGATTACAAGAGAACTAAAAATAGTTAAGCTATTCTTTAATATGCAACAGCTGCTTGTTACTATTACAGAAGCATTAGTTAACATATTTTTATGCTGCGTTTGGAAATTTTCACTCAATAAAGTCAATGTTATCACAGCTACAAGGAGGTCTGATATGGCCTTAAAGTATGCCTAATAAAATGGTTACTTGTTACATTAATAATGAATAAATAGTTTTAAGAATAATTTTATTTCAAGGAAAATTCATCTGAACAGCAATCCATACAATTACAGAAATAGTTTAATGCAAAATCTTGATATTAGTATGCAAAATAACATATTTGTCACACCTGGAACAGAAGGTAATTTTCTTATTCTAGGGTCTTTAATATTGTTAACTAGAAATATATTGAATGCTCCAGTTAGTACAGCTACACCAGTGTAAAACTTCGGACTGTTGAAAATTCTACATTCTAAAACTCCAGTATCCTTAACATCCTAAAACAAAATTATTTATATAAAAATATGAAATTTCAATTTTCCTCTTTAATGATATACAAAGATTTACAGAAATAAAAAAAATAAGATAATTATAAACATATTCTCTCACTTAACAAATACTACAACATAGCTTTTGATATCAGTTTTAGAAAGTAAAACATTAATTTTTGTGTAATTAAAGTGAATGATATAATTAACATTTTAACAAGAAAACAATTCTTCATATCATAAATATTCTTAATAAAAATATAATGATCTAATGGATATATATTTCATAAAAATGAATTAAGCAATGTTAATTTGATAATAAACAGTGCAATGCAAATTTTTCTGAATTGCTTTTACTCTACTAAGTTATAAAATATGCTACAAAAATAATTTAGAGTAATAAAAAAATTATATTTACATTGAAATTTAATGCTCTACTCAGCTTCATAAAAAAAATTTTAAATAATTCAATTTTTGCTGAAAACATTAGATTCCTCACTAGTAGTTTTAACAAATTTTAATAAATTTTAACATGAATCCATTAAAAAAAACATTTAAAAGTTTTAATTCAGTTTAAAAACTGCTTAGTTATTAAAACTAATATTATCTGTTTACTTCCATCAATTAATATATTTTAATCAAATGAAAAACTTTTCAATATTAAATGTACTTTACTACATTTTATACTATGATATCATTAGCTTAAATATGAATTTGAGGCTTTACCATAAATGATTCATTAAATTAAAAAAAGAGAGTATTTTTTGTTTATCTGCAGCCCCTTCCAAAAGATAATCAAATCATTGGTAACTAATTTTTTAACAAGCTAATACGTGAAAAGCTACAGTAATTTTGAAAATGGCAATGCTCTACGAATTTCATAAAAGAGCAATGAATGAATAAAATTTAAAAAGCAAGAAACAGCCATAACAAAACACTTACCTTTCTTACCAAAATCCTAATGCAATTTGTTTTGCTCTGTTGTTCTGCCCATGTACATCGTGATCTGTTTTTGCTTTAAAAATATCAGAGATTTGTAAAAATTTAGCATGGTGCATGTTGTTCTCATATATACTTAGCAACCTGTTTATGCTTTAAAAAAAAAATCAGAGAACTGCACAAATTTTGATTCATAAAATTTGACTGTTTATGAAATACAACTTTACGGAATGTGAAATTTTGCACTGTTGAGCAGAATGCTTCCATATTTTGGAAAATCTACAACCCTTTCATTTTAATCAGCCAGCAAACTCCCCAGTCTCACTACGATTCCTTGCATGAAAAAATGCAATTCATGCGAGAAAAACAAAATTAATGACTACTAAATTTGAAAATGGAAATCCACTCTCATCTGCTATATGTGTGTGCATATCTGGGTTGGCATATAGATACATTTTGTGAAACTCATTGATTGTAAATACTTTTCAAGTGCAGATACTGATGATCAGAAAGTATTTTTAAAAAAATTTCATTCAAATGAATATGTTACAAAACCAATCACTAGGATAATCAATTTAACAAATAAATTAAGAGATGCAATTAAACCACAAAGTTTATAGTTGATCTTCACAATACATTAATTTTAATATGGTGCATCTTGTTCTATAATGGAAATCACTATGAATATAAAGTTCATGAATAAATTATAACTAATATTCTTGACTTTAAAAAAAACTGGATACCTATGAAACAAACTGGAACACTATTCCAGAGAAATTCCAATTTTATTTCCAAAATGAGCTTTTTTGCTGCAATACATGCAAATTTAATACACAACTCAAGCTAACCAATAAAATAAAAAATTAATTTCATTAACAGAATAATTAAAACAAAGTACATTAAATTCAAACACTTTCTCACTCTAAATTTTAATTTTAATAAAAAAAAAGCAGGGGAACAAAGTAAAAAAAAAAAAAAAAAATTCTTTGGTTTGATTTACTTTCAATAAACAATATTACAAAGTCATAAATTATAGACCAGTGGTCTCAACCATTTTAGTCCTATACATCCTTTTTCCTATTTGCTAGATGATTATCCCCCCCTTACTTTCCAAAACTCGAAAAATATACATGTACATTTATTTAGATAAATGTACATGTATATTTTTCATGTATATATAAATGTACATGTACATATAAATGTACATGTACATGTATATTATGTATATTTATTTAGATAAAGATTATTTTTTAATATGTTTTAAAAAATCAGACAAGAAAAAATATAGAAACTGTTGATAAAAACCAAAGTTTGAACAAAAGTAGTTTTTTATATTCATAAACTAAAACTAAATATTTAACAGGTAAATAAAAGGCTGGCATCATTCCCCTTCTGAGACTATGAAATTCCCCTCTCGTTGAGAAACCCTGGTATAGACATTAAGTAGATGTGAATTTTACTAGATTACCTTTAAAAAAAATTGCTTCAAAACAAAATATACATCTATTATAAATATTTATTAAACAAAAAGTGATTAAACAAAAGTATTTAATGAACTGTCAAATTAATTTCATTTCAATTTTACATAAATATTTAGAAGCCATATTAATAATCAATTGCAGAAAAATTTTTACCTGACCCATACTAGTTGTCATTTGTAAATTTCCATAAATATCATAAAGTAAAACGTTTCCATCTTCAAGCACACATATTAGATCTTCACTTGAAGACCAACCCATATGAACTAACGGTCCACTATTCCACTATAAAAATCAAAATATCAATAACAAATAATTTTATTAAAACATAATATATTTAATACTAAACAGCATAAAATAAATTCAAGCTTAAAAAAATTATCTTACTTTGATTGTGGATAATGGTTGCCCTGAAGCTGAAAATATGTAAATATTGGATTTGTTTGCAAACTGTACTTTTTGCAGCTTCTTTTTATCTTGTGTCAAAGCTAAAATTTAAGAAAAGGAATATATTTAATGCCACAACAGTAAAATTGTAATCATGATCTAATATTATGGACCTTTAATCTTATTATGTCTGAAAGAATATCAGCGTTACATAATTTTAAAAAATATTTGTTTGATAACAACAACAAAAAAATAATTATAGTTAATTACAAAACATTTTTCGTTTGAATATTACTTGGGCTGTTATTTCGCCTAGATATCCAGGGCACTTATGTATTTACAATGTCACGGACAAAGGTTTCATACATCTCCATCATCAACTTTTGTGCCAATCCACTGAAAAATGCAATTATCATTTACTGGAACACTTTAGAGTTAGTAAATGATTTTAGTAACAAGAAGAAGGGAAAAAAAGGGGTGATCCTATATGCTCAACCACATGCATTTCCATCTGCATGTCAGGTACAAGGATAAGTAGATATGACACTAAAATTTCACCACAGACTGTACAAGTACAGAACCACTGCACTAGCTGTGCAGTTTCGTCCCAATTTTGAAGGAGAACACCCCGAAGGTGGTCCGAGTCTCTCAACCCTTTTCCCACCAGTGACTTGAAAGGACTTTTGGCTCCCCATGTATTTAAGTGTCCCCTTGCCGCACAGACACTATATGCTTACAAACATCCATGCCTTCTCTGTGATTCAAACCTAAACTCATCGATACAGCAGTCAGTGTCACTAACCACTATTCCATGTGGGTAGCTGCTGCTACAGAACAGGTGTTTCAGTAGTGTGGATGATATGGCTACTTTTAGAACATCTTGATAATTACACAGATGTTGATATCAGTGAAACATTTAACAGCATCCAACCTACAACCCAAATCTCATTTCTCAATGGTGCTTACAATTTTTTGCAAATGTAAGGAAATTCTTGGATGAAAAGTGCTCTGCTGAAAATAGCATTTCAGCAGTACTGCTTTTCTATATGGACTGGTGGTAGAACTGAATGATAAGCATATATTTATTTATTTAATTATATTACAAATTCCAAACATTAGCGCTTAAGCCATTAGTTCACAGGCTACAGTACGCTTTAACAATATCCTCATACCAAGAAAGTGCAATACCATTATTTAAATGTTCAAAAATCATAGGCTGATTGAAGTCACACAAAACACAGTTTGAGGAATCCACCACTCCAGTTCTGTACAGGTGGTCTTGCAAACAGTCACGTCTGGTCAAACATCTAAATAGAGCTGCCGCTGTCTTTCTTGGAAAACTACGAATAAAAGTTATCTCTTTCCTCAGAATCCTCCATCTCTTATGAATCATATCCTGTTTAAGCACGTTGAATCATATCCTGTTTAAGAATTTTCTTAAGAGTCAGGTTAAAAAACAGTTTAGTCATATGGAAAGAAAGTGGTTGATTAATGCATTGCATTATCAAAGTTCCTTTCTTAGCCAATGTATCAGCTTTTTAATTGCCCACAATTCCACAGTGGGCCATTGGAAAGAAATTTTGTGTGCCATTGAGTTAAGCAAATGTCTACAGTCTAAGATTCTTTGGGAACTATTTTGATTATTCAGGAGGGCTTGAAGTGCACTTTTGGAAACTAACAATAAGACTGCCTTTACAAAAGAGTGGCTATGAATCAGCAGTTGATGAATAGCCACAGCAATGACTTTGATTTCCCCATCAAAAGCAGTAGTAAGAGAGCCCATTGATAAGTAGAAACTAAAAACATCACTATAGATACCTGCTCCAGATCTAACATAGAGCCATCAGTGTAGACACACAATCACTCATTTTGAGGCTAACGAACCCCAATAGCTTCCATTGCAATAGATCTTAACTGTGAATCGCTCATTTTATTTTTAACAACTCTTTGTATAAGATCAAGATTTATATTCAAATTTAAAAAGTCCAAGGGACAATGGAGAGGAGGTAAAATTAGATAATCTCAGATCAATTTCAAAGTATCATATTGTTGCGTGCGTACGGGTTCGTTATGAAATGAATGCACAAGTACAAAGAAAAATAAACAAAAATTTATTATTATCAAAACAAAAATGCTTAAATTTTCTCATATTATCATGCAGTATTACAATCTCACAGTAGTTATCTTTAACTACTCAAAGTCTAATAGAACGTAATTCAAAACAGCTAAAGAAAGCTAATCCGTGAATTCTCTACAATCAACAACAAATTAAGCAACTACTACAAACTGAGAGGTTTCCTCCTTTTATAAGATTTTTAAATGCGTGCGAGAATTTTCTGGTACTTTCTCGAAATCAAAAAGACATATTTATTTAAGTTAAATGCACAGCTCTTGTATTTAATTTTCCGGCTAGCTTTTTTTTCTTTAATATTCGTCCGTGCTGCACGCGTGGGAAACAAACCCACGCAATAAATAATTTAATTTATAATGAACTAACATTAGCTTTTTAAATACCAAATTCGTAAACTGCCCCCTTCCCGGACTGCACGTCCCGGGCAGTACAATCCCTGAACAGGAAGCTAAACTTAGAACTTGGCATAAATGCATAAAATAAGCATTACATTACAATAATAAACAAATGAACAAATGCAATAAATAAACAAATCAAATGTTATCAAATACAAATCAAATAATAAATGCAAATCAAATACTAAATACAAATCAAATCAAATACACATTTAAAAACAGAAAGGACCATGTTCTACAATTATTTACATTACGTACTGTTGTGGTGATCCACGGTTTGAAAATGGTTTCTGAATCAGAAGAGATTCGTGCACTAACCTAGTGCTTCGCATTAGAGAGTAAAGAACATCTATGATATAAAAATATACTTTTATTTACACAGCGAAAATGCGCAGCAACATTATCAACGAAAGCTCATTCTCCTAATAACATACTTCTTTTTTCCCTCCCCCTTGCGCATGCGCATTGACAATTACCAAAGGAGCTTGGCAGATACTGCCATCTGTTGGATAAACTATTCGCTACATATTCCTCCACCTGAATTACTGGGAGGTAAATTCACACATCTGTTAAGTATAATATATGCATAATAGTACAGTATACAATATTGAAGTATAAAATTATGCCTACCAAGATGTTCTAATTAAATTGAAATACAAATTTACCTGGAGATGCAGCATTCCATAATTTTCTAGACATATTAACAGATAATACTAAACCTAGAAAAATAAAAATAAATCAAATTATTAAAAAGTATTCAAACAAGTACAAAACATTTCACAGACGTATCACTGGTTTCACAGTTCTACCACTGCTGGTAGTCATAGGAATATTTTCAGTCATATCCTTTTGGACTGGGTTATCCAGCTCAAGTCTGTACAGTCTTTGCACTGGTCTCAGAAACTCAGAAGTCTCTGTTTTTATGACAGCAAGTCTTATTTGTCCATCACGACCAGGTATCAGCTTTATGACACGCGCCAGGTTCCAAAAAGCACGTTTTTTGTTGTTATCTTCAGTAGAACAATTTCACCCACCTGGAGAGGTTTAGCTATAGAGTTTTTAATGGACTGCTGACGTAACTGTCCTAGATATTCCACACGGAATCTTGCTCTAAAGTTGTTCTCTCACCTTTTGTAGATACTTAGCTCGTTTACTCAGTTTTTCCTTATCCACTGTAAATCGATATCAGGTACTCCTGATTTGGAAATCTCCCGCAGGAAACATTTCTGGAGTTAATGGGGATGAATCTTTCAACGTCTTCCGACACGTAGGTAAGTGGCCTAGTATTGATTACTCTCTCACAGTCGCATAAGTACTGTAAGCAACTCCTCGTAATCCAGGGCAGCACGACCTAGAACTTTTCTCAGAATCTGTTTCACCATTTGAACTAAACGTTCCCACCAACCGCCCCACCAAGGTGCGGAAGGAGGAATAAATTTCCACTGAATTCTTTGCTCAGCGGCCTTTGATCGCAGACTCTCCCAATCAATTGTATGCAGAAGGCTCTCCGCTCCTTTTAAAATTACTGCCATTGTCTGAGTATATTATAGATGGTCTTTCCGCGACGAGAAATGAAACGTCTCAATGACTGGAAAAAAAGCTTCAGTTGTCAAGGATGTTACTGACTCCAGATGAATGGCCCTATAGACCGCACATGTGTAAAGAACAATATAAGCTTTTCGACCATCTTTAAGGTAGAGGGGTCCTGCCAGATCGACACCCCAAAACTCATCATTGGCAAAATTCAGTTACATCAAAGCTCACAACAGTGATCAAACCATCACAATCAACTATAGGTCTGAGGTCTTTAATTTTATCATCGTTCACACTCTTAAATGATTCTCTTTGAATCAATAACATAAGAGTTATCTCAGCTCTTTCAATTTCCGAAACTGACAAAATTTTGGAGGTTTCGTTTGTAATTCTTCGTAATTTAAAGTAAACCTAAGAATCCAACCTAACATGCGTACAATTTTCTTTATGGATGAAAAGTACCTGTAATACCAATTGTCAGGTTTAGAATCTTTGTTAAGAGTTGTCAATACTGATTTACGCCTTTCTGAATTTATGATCTCTTCGTCCGGCAAATCGGTGCCTCTTGACCATGACGATTCTGGTTCTAACAGCCATGATGGGCCCTCCCACCATTTCGACAGCAAAAACTGTTTAACTGAACAGCCTCTAGAAGGGAGATCGGCGGCATTCAGCTCCGAAGGGATGTAATGCCAATCTTCTATTTTTGTAAGTGTTCTGATTTCTTGGACACGATTCCAAACGAAAGTTCCCCACCGTACGTCTCGCTGGATCCAGCACAAAGCGGTTGTTGAGTCAGTCCAGAAGAATGTTCTTAAATTTGGCATGTTCAAATCTGAAAAGACCATACGTCCCAAGCGTGCTCCGATTAAGCAGGATAATAATTCCAAACGAGGAATGGATATACTCTTTAAAGGCTTAACTCTAGTGCGTGCTTGCACAAAATTTAAATAAACCTTATTTTCGTCGGTCTTCACTCTTAAGAAAATACAGGTAGCATAGGCATGCTTGCTGGCATCGCTGAAAACATGAAGACTTACATCTCC